CTCAAGAGCAACAGTGTCTCTCTGGAGACTAAGGTCCGCCTGATACAGGCCATGGTTTTTGCAATAACTTGTTTTGCATCAGAGAGTGGGACAATGACTAGGGAAGATAGAAGGAGAATTGATGCCTTTGAGCTGTGGTGCTGGAGAAGAGTATTGAATGTACCATGTACTGCCAAGAAAAGGATTCTGGGGCTTCGCCTGACATACTTTGGACATGTTGTAAGGAGGGACAGGTCCTTGGAGAGGGACATCATGCTTGGGAGGGTGGAGGGACAGCGCAGGAGGGGAAGACCCTCTATGAGGTGGATTGATTCAGTGACTGGGGTAATCGGGATGGGTGTGTCAGAGGCAATGCAATTGGCACAGGATAGAGCAGGGTTTAGGGCTGTTGTACACAGGTTCGGTATGAGTCGCAAAAGAGTCGACGGCACATAACAACAACAACAACAATCACCTGAATTTCATTTTCATGATTGACTAGCTGCATGGGAAAAAGTATTGAAGTTGGAAAAAACTGACCCTATCAAAATCGGTTTTCTTCATCATCCGCTTTTGTAAAGACTATATGTCACTTCTTTTACGTAAGCAGTTGCAAAACGTATTAGGCTATTTTGGAGGCGTGAACATTCAAGCTAAATTAAAAGGAAAGTGGAAATTGCTCATGAGCTTTATTTACATAGTTATTAACTTCCAATTAGCCATCTCCATCAATTAGCTGTTTCATAAGCCAGTAGTTTAAAAACAAATGCTCAGGAAGGCCATAGGTTGAATTTTGTTCCCCCCCAATTATAATGATATAATGTGGAAGCTATGTACTAGTCTCTGTGATCCTGAGAAATCCATTGTGGGAGGATTAAGGGTGGAATGAAAGACCCATCTCAATACTAATTGACTGTAAAGGGGAGGTCCCCTAGGATGTGGCCAATAATACCTATTACCTGAATGGAGATAAAGGTAGAGGGAAGCAAGGGAGGGAGAAGGTGGGATGGTATCATCACATAATAATGCCCTGGGGTGGTGGTCATCTTTTTTGGACCAGGGTCCCTGGGCAACAAAACTCCCTGACATGGGGGGAGGCCAGAGCTCAGGGAGGTTTATAGAGGAAAGAAGACTTTACCCTGCAACTGACAGAGAGTAGAGCAGAGATCTTGAACTTGGATTTCAAGCTTCCTAAATTCTAAAAGGATATATTTCTGTTAGTTAAAAACATCCATGTGTGGTATCTCTAGTCTAACTCAGAAAGAAAATAAAACAACCCAAACCCTTAAATTCCTATCTGGGGCATGAATGGACTCAAACCGGACCCTTCACTGGGTTTCGGAGGCTGTAAATCACGTGAGAGGAGATGGCTCATCTTTTTTCCGATAGAGCAGCTGAAGGATTCACACCACCCGAGTTCCAAAGTAGACAACTAAACTAAGACAGTAGCATTAAATTAAAAAACTCAAGTTCATGGTCACAGAGTTGAAGTGCTCTGAGAGGACAGATCACAATGCAAGAGACTGTCCATCCTTCTTTAGCGGAGCTGCTATTGAATTCTAGCCACTAAACACTAGACCTGCCACCTTTGGCTTTACAGTGCAGCTTCTATGGGCGAGTCAACAAAGAGCTCCCTCACATGAAAATTAGTTACCAGTGTTTCTCTGAGATAATTCCAATCAGAAAAATAAGTTGGAATGCCATAAAATAATTCAGGGATGTTGGTCCACTGGTTATTGTATGAAGGAAGGAAGCACTTAGGAACACTGTACCCTTATCTTGTTTAAAGTTCATGGCGGATTGGCTCGATCATTTCACTACTGATCAAAAAGATCAAGTGACTTGTCTCCAGGCCACATGACTAATAACAGTGCAAAATCCACTCACAGCAGATTATCACCCAAGCCTGTATTACCTCTCTCCCCACTACGATCCATTTTATGGTGTTGACTTTTCAAGATTTCTGGACTATGATCCACCAATTTGTGGTTCACATCATCACCAGTGATGTTCATACATCTTTATAACTGAAACAAAAGCTTTCCAAATGTTTCTTACTCTTTCTAGAATGTGCTATAACTTGTATTTTTTTTTTAAAGGAAAACTGATTTGCTGGGGAGAGGGCCAAATTGGAACCCTTAAGGGGTTGCGATGCCAATCCAATGGTGGGTTGCTCGAATCCACCAGCTACCAGTTGCTTCTGGGAGAAAGATGGTCAGTCTCCTTGCTTGCTTTGTAGAGCCTCTGAAAACCGACTGGAAGACATTGAGTGCACGTTCTCTTGGAATCAAAGACAGAGATGGCAGCACTTGGGATTCCAACAGGAAGTCCAGGCTGACATAGGAGGAGTCTAGCTCTTCCTCAATAGAAAAGCTTTCCTCTGCTTCAACCCTCTGAATTATTTTTGCTTCTCTCCATGCTATGGATTGAACTGTATCTCCCCCAAAATATGCTACAATTCATCTAAGTCGTTACATGCTATTGAGTCAGAACCAACTCACAGGTGACCCTTCAGAGGGTTTTCAGAGACTGGCGATTCATCTTTCTGCCACATAACAGCTGGTAGATTTGAACCACCAGCCTTGGGCTTGGCAGCCAGAGTTCTCTATACCTGTGGTTATAATCCCGTTTGAGAATGAAGTTTCTTTATTATGTTAATGTAGCAGCATTAGGGCAGGCTGGGTTCTAGGTCAATCTCTTCTGATATCAAAGAGTAATTTAGACTCTGAGAATAAGCAGAAATGGGAAGATCAGTGCCAGACCACATGAAAACGGCCAAAGAATTCTGGAACAGAAGCTGAAGAGACAGGGGCCTTTCCCCAGGACTTGAGTGAAAGGGAACGGCCGCCTAGAACTGGAGTGTCTTGATTTTGTCCTTCTAAATCTAGTCTCCTAAACGCTCAGAAAATAAATCTATTTGTTAAGGTCCTCCAGTGGTGGCATTTGTGTTACAGCCGCATTAGATAAATGAAGAAACCCCATTTCTCATAATCTAATAATTTACTCTGGTTCTGTTTTGTAAGACAAAATGTTAAGTGCCATTGAGTCATCTGCGACCCATAGAGACCCCTATGTACAGCAGCTCTGACGCCTGCCCTGTCCTGAGCCAGTCTCACTAATTCTGACAAACCAACCCCCATTACTCCAGTCCTTTATTAATGTAGATAAAAAATAACTGACTCGTATAGAAAGACTTTGAAATACTTTTAAATAAGCAAATAATTTTTGGTAGAAAATGATACTTAAAAGTTTTGGTATTTGGTATTGGGAGGAAAAAGAGGAGGTAGAAGATTTTTATTTTATGTTTTGTTGTTGTGAGTCAGCTGCAACTCATAGCAACCCTATGAACAACAGACCTGAATCCTGCCCTGTCCGGCAGCGTCCTCACCATCTCTGAGAGGCTGCAGCCCGGTGCTGCTGTCACCGTGTCAAGCCGTCCCTGGAAGAGCTTCCTTCTATTTCTGCTTAATGAGTGTCTAATTCTGGGGGCACCACTGAAATATTTACTTTTATCCATTAACAAGAGTGAGTCTTTCTGCAGACAGCCACACAATGGAATACTATGCAGCATTGAAAAACAAGGAACTCATGAAATACTATACAAAATGGGTGACCCTGGAGGACATTATGCTAAGTGAACTATCTCAGGCACAAAAGGACAAATATTGTATAGGACCCCTGTTGTAAAACGGGACTGACATTGGGGTTGAGGGAAGACAGAGAGGGAGGGGAGGAATGAGGTATACTGCATTGAAAGAGATGAGGGAGAGAACTGTTTAAAAGGGATATATGATTGGGTATTATTGTCATGACAGGAGTCCAGAGTGAAGGCTGCACAGTAGAGTGGACTTGGGGGGAGGGATTGCATAACAATGAAAGAGTTTTTCTATTACATTTCAAGAAGAAGAGTGAATTGGGGAGGGGAGAGGGTGGGCAGGGAGAAAAGTGCAACAAGAAATGAATGGAAACCCTAAGTCCCTCTAAACTTTCATTAAAATTAATAAAAAAATTATCAGTACTGAAGGTGAGTTTTATGAATATCCCTTAAATTGAATGCAAAAATATTTTGAAGGAATAGACTAAAAACTACATAGACTGAAACTCAGAAGAAATATTTCACTAAGTCTATATTTTATTTGATGTCAAAAGAACTCTGAGTTGTATTAAGTAAAAATGATTTTCATCATCAATTTTAGAGGCTACATTTCTAGAAAACACTATCATTAATTTTATTAGCAGTTTTCTGCTAGAACTGAAGAGAAAGCTAATTCTGAATTAACTTACTGAAGTATCTATGAAAACTGCTCTTTTTCATATTCAATTACGTACAAAAATTTTGTAAGAAAGATAACACTTTTATTGCCTTATAATTTCATATTTTACAGGAGTTAGAACGCAAACTCATGAGCATAAATATACATGGTAACAACCAAACAGCAATGCAATCATGAAAAGATTGAAAACAGAAAACTAGAATTTAGCAAGCAAAATACTTAATATGGCTTATAAGGAAACTGTTTAGAAGTGATTTATTATTACCTCATCCTAGCCATTCCTCTTCAAGTGAACTTCAAAATATGATCTCCACTTAAAATGGAATACGTTATCTAAGCTAACACTATATACATTTTGTAATATGTAGTAAGCAATACAATTTATGGATTTACCTCCATATACATATGTACATATATACAAATATATAGAGCTATACAGTACACAGACACCTCTGGTTTTGAGACCCCTGAATATATTAATTAAAACTATGACAAATTGTCTATTATAAAACTACTTGAAAAGCTGGCTGAATGTCTTGGTATGAAGTTCAACCATACAGAATTAAAAACAAAACAAAACAAAAGGTTGATTATAAATACATTCTTTACAAAAAAATTGAATAGTGGTCCCGCACTCATCCTTTATATTACAGTGAAAACAATTCATTGAAAGTTATTTACACATTGTTGTCCTTGGTTTTGGTGTCAAATATACAGAAGTTAATAGTGAGAAAATTGTAGGCAGGCCTATTTGTGAGGTTTTTCTACTTGTTCGTTTTTGCGTAAGTTCCAAATCTCATCTTTTGAGTTATTATTTATTTCTATTTGCCTTGTATTACTGCTGCTGCTGCTTCTTTTGGTGTTCTGGGAACACTGGGCGGCTTTACTTCGAGGAACAGGAAGAAGAGATTTCACTCTTGAAACACCCAACTCCGTCTTTAGCTTACTGTTGCTGCATTCCGTCCTTTGCCGGTTGCTGAGAGGACTGAGCTCCTGAAGCAAGAGAGAGATCAACCACTGTGTCACATCGCTTCTGCCAATGCTACCGACTTCCTCTCCTGCCAGTCAGTCCTAGAGCTTCCTCCTGGAGCAAAGCACACAGGAGATTCTTTCTGCACTCAGGTTCCCATGACCCCCATATCCCACAGGACATAAGAGAAAGAAGATCAACGATTAATTTCTTGGAGGTTTACTGCCTGAGCTGGACTTTTCCTGGTATCCCATGAATTCTAGATGCAGGGAAGCTGGTGAATCGAGAGCTGATGAGTCTGGGCTATTCTTACCGACAGGAGCTTCACAAACCTCTACGTCCGTTGCTGGTGAGACACCTGACAACAGCACTCCTTCCAGGGAGGCAGAAGACTATGGCCTAGGGTCAGGTGTGCAGGGACGCACACATCTCTGCCAGTTCCTGTCATTTCTTATTTGTATTTTAAGGGAGGTTAAGGGCGAATGGAAAGATAATCAAAGCGCTTACTTCTGTGTTAGAGAAAAGCTTATGCTGTCAGACTACCAAGGGGAGAAGATGTGAGAAACGATAATTTTGCTGGATGCCTGGATTGCTGAAACAGAGGAAAGAGTCCTGAGCTGAGACTGAACTGTGAGAACACCGCCCAGGTACCAGAATTCAGCTCCATTTCTCCTTTAGAGAAGTTACTTCTTAAATCTGTATAATGGGACTGACCCATGGGCCTAGTTAGGCCAATGAAATTCTGTCCAGGACACCAGCAGATTCAACACATACAATATTATTATGTGCCACTGAGTCGGAACCAACTCACAGTTGACCTTCCGATGGGTTTTCCGAGGCTGTAAATTGCCTAGAAAGAGACTGCCCATCTATCTTCTTCAGAACAGCTAGTAGACGGGAACCATAAGCTTTTGTGTAGACAGCTCCTTACCGCCATGCCACCCCAGTATATATACAACCCAATAATATGACGTGTATCAAATAAGGGTATGGCATGTACAGCTCACAGTTTAACACACAACAATACACGGTAGTGCTGAGAGAGCAGAGGCTGTGTCATGGGACATAGATGACTAATTTAGTCATCTCACAGAATCTACAGCAGTGTGCATGCAGATCTGACTATAAATAATGCTCCTGCAATCTTTGAAATTCATCTGAAAACCCACAGGGTGCTATGAGCAGAGGCAAAATAGGAGACTAAAAAAAAAAAAAGATGAACATTCTTGAGGTAGGGAAAATTTCTTAGTCTCTGTTCTATTGATTTAAAGTTGAGTAACAGAGAAGCTGCCCTGAAATCCCAAAGGCACACAGTTCAAATCCACCAACTGCTTAGCAGAAGGATGGGAAATCTCCTCCTGTGCAATTTACTGCTTCTGAAAACCTGCTGGATGGTCGGCTAGGGGTTGGCTCCGACTCGATGGCACAAAACAACAGGCATGACATTTAAATGATAAACACCTATATTTCAGTCCTGGTATAGCAGGAAGCGTTACACTGCAGCAAACAATGCAGATTAATTCCTTCAGCTTTGCTTCCAAAGTATCATAGTGGCTGCAAGGCCAAGTCTCTGGCCACTGGGGAGAAACGACTTCAGAGAGCTCTGATTTCTGAAGGAGTCACTTCCTGATAACAGAAGAAACTGAACATCTAACCAAGAAGTGCTGGTTGAGCCAGAAGGAGCTACCTTGCACAGGCAAGTCAAGGAGGAAGCCAGCCAAGCTTCTGGAAGATTCCCAAGGGAGTGTGAGTTTGCCCTCTGCTGGCCAGTCTGGAGAAAGACACCTAAACTATTTGGGAAAGAGTCCCCGGGCCTTCAGGGTGCAGTCTAACTTTCAGTGGATGCTTGTTACTAATTACGGTCCGATTGTCTATTAAATAATCACAGTATCATAATGTAATGGCATAGGCACTTGTTACGTGCTGTCGAGTCACTAGAAGACTCATTTATTAAAGGTCCATTTCAAGCAACGCTGTCCAGTGCTGCACTAAAGCTTAAGCTTGTCTTACTTTCAGTCCTATTTTTTTAAAATATTGTATAATTTTATGGAAATAAATTATTCTTTTCATTGAAAAGCAGCCCTGGTGGTGCAAAAGTTAAGCACTCATTTAATTTCTAACTGGAAGTTAGCTCCCTGGGAGCAAAATGTGCTTCTACAAAAGATTGTTGTTTTTGTTGTATGCCATCGAGTTGGAACCAACACGTAGCTGACTCTCCAGTGGGTCTTCAGAGGGAGTTAATCGCATGGGAGGACACTGCCCATTCCTTGTTCCATGGAGCAGCTCATAGATTTGAACCATGGGCCTTTGGGATTGTACCACAGCCCTTTAGAAAGTTCCACGCTATCACATGGAGGGAGACTCTAACTATTGATTCTAATTATTATTATTATATAAGAAATGATATACTATTATATATGAATAATTTATAAAAATAATAATTTATATTATATATTTAGATAATAATTATATATCTTACTATTAACAACCCAGAGAGTCACAGGGCAGTGATCCAAAATGACCTCTATTCCTACAATAAAGAGCGCTGGTGACCTAGAGGTAACGAGTTACGCTGTCAACCCAAAGGCTTATGGTTTGAATCCACCAGCTGCTCCAAGAGAGAAATATGGGCACTTTCCTCCCGTGAGATAAACAGTCTCAGAAAACCTGCCGGAGGGTCAGCTGTACGTTAGTTCTAACTCAACAACACAGAAATCCAACAACAACATTATACAGTGAGAGCCAGTCATGGCCAGTCTACATTTGTGCACAGGGAAGTGAGCTGGTCCCTTGGAGGAAAGATGTTCTTTGTTCCTCTTCCTGACTCCTCACCCATGAGGATCCTTCCACTACGATCCACAAGAACTGCTGACATGAAAGCCCAGGAACATGCACTGGTCTCCAGCCAATGCAGGCGGGCTGCTATGTAAGGGTAGAAAGTTGAGGCTTTGGAGATGGAAAGGGGCAGCCCCCAGACTAAGAGTTTTCCAGTCAGAGTGCTCCGGAGAGGCCAGAGATCACCTCCTTAGACCGTTCCCTCTAAAATGTCTTCGCATTTTGCTGAATTTGTAAATGATTAATTTATAAAAATGATTCTCATTTGGGAAAAAAAAATAAAGAAAAAAGCCAACACTATAGGGAGCTCTGGTGGCCTACTGCCAAGAATCTGTGCTGTAATCCTGAAGGCACTTGGTTCGAGGCCACCAGCTGCTCCAAGGGAGAATGATGGGCAGTCTCCTCCTGTGAGATTAACTGCCTCTGAAAACCTGTGGGAGGGTCAACTACGGGTCAGTTCCAACTCTATGGTTAACAACGACATGACAAAGCCGACCGTGAAAGATCATGTGCTTTCTTATCAGAGGCCATCATGTCACATATATTTTATTAGATATTTCAGTTCTGCAAACGTTCCTGTTTTCTTTTCTCCATCATGTATAGCTCACAAAGTTTAACACTTAACAAAACAGGGTTGAAAACCAAGGTAGAGCTGAGAGAGCAGAGGCTGTGCCATGTGACACAGATGTAATTTAGTCATCTCACTGGGTTCATTTATCATCGTGCTCTCTGCACACGGATCTGTGTGTGCCAGCAAGTGACAGAGATGGGAACAGGATGGGAACTGCACAGCTAAGGCTTAGTGGACAGGCCGCACATTACTAAATGCCTCTGCCTGATCTGGGTCTTCACAAACTAGTTAATGGCTAAGATGCCACTTTACTGTTTGAATCCATCCAGGGGCCCCTGCTGGGCCATCTCTTACCACCGACTAACTGATCAGTGATGGTCCCGCACCATGCAATACGAGCTGTTTCAAGAGGTTAACGACATCGGTTTGAAGCCTGGCTTTTTTTTCTTTGCTATTCTGACTGTATCTCACTGAAGTATCTCACTGAAGCACAGTGCAAATTAAGTTAAGAAATGAAAACAAAAATCAGGTGATTTTCTTTCTTTGTGTAAAATATTATGATGCTATCACTCAGCTTGGCTCTTTGCAGAAATGAAGGAAATCTTAGTTTTCAATATGCAACTGAAAAGCACTACCTTTATAAAATTTAACTACCAAGAAAAACAAGCTTCTGTAACTTGGAGTTTTGGCCTATACCAATAAAAACATTCTTTAAAAAAACATCCAGGGAGCTCTGGTGGCCTAGTGACAAAAAACTACACTGCAACCCCAGAGGTGCACGGTTCAAATCCACTAGATGCTCTGCTGGAAAAGAGGGGTAATATCTTCCTCTACCAGTCAGATTCAGTTTGACAGTACACACATACACACACACACACACACACACACAAAATAAAAAAAGACAACATCCACAATTTTAGAGTACAATTTTAAGCATCAAATAGAAGAGAACCATAGTGCTTTTCCAAATGCCATTCTTTGTTTTGTTTCATTTTGTTTTTTATTTCTTTTGTGTGTGTGTGTGTATGTGTGTACCGTCAAATCAGATCTGACTGGTACAGGAAGAGATTGCCCCTTCCTCTTCAGCAGAGCATCTGGTGGATTTGAACCGTGCACCTCTGGGATTATAGTACAGCTTTTTGCCACTTGGCCACCAGCACTCCTTAAATGCCATTCTTTTAAGATACTTCCACTGGCCATCTTTTTTATCTCAATTTTGATGACTGAACATCTGTGTCCTTATCCCAGCCCTGTAGTTTCCAAGGAGCTGTGACTCACCGAGAGGCCTATGAAGTCCACTCCAGTCTTTGTTTGGCTCATTTTGGGGAAAGAGACACTTACCTTTTGTGACACTGGTGTTCCTGGAGTGTTAACAGATGCTGGAAACACAGGGCTGTTTCTGGAACTATCAAATCTCCTTAAATCATCCCTGGAATCAGCAATCTGGAAAATACAACATTTTTTAAAGTCCTGTTTCTGGTTATGCTAGGACATGCTGTATTGTATTAACGACACCTCTGTTGCTGTTGTTTACCTCTGAGTCAAAACAGACTCTTGCCTGACCCCTCTAGCAGGTGTTCAGAGGCAGTAAATTGCATGGGAGGAGACTTCCCATCCTTCTGTGGAAAGGTCACCATGGGAAAGGCTCATCCTGATCCTGACCTTCAGTAGATCTACAGGAAGCAAAGACAATACGTCCAACTTTGGGACTGTGAACACGAAAGACTTGACACCTTCTGTGAATCTGATAGCAGATGCATTAAAGATAGCCTCAGAGAATCCAAGATTTCAATTAAAAGTAAAAAGATCAGAACAGATTTATAGGGGGGAAAATAATACATAAATGCTACTTGGCTAGATGATATTCTGAAGCAGGAGTATCATCTACTTCCTAAACAAGATTCCTCTGTTAACACTATGAACTTTGAGAAATGAACTTTGTTCATAGGGTCACTATGAGTCATGCTTGACTAGATGACAATCAACAACAACAACTACCATTATCTTACTTCTCAGTGGATAATAAGGTTAACTAGGACAGTCAATTACACTTTGGCCTAGACAGTATGACTGGTAGAACATGATAACTGAATCTGTCATAGCATCCTTCTTACGTCTCAACTGTCTTCTTATAGGCTCCCTCTTCAGAAAAAGGGAGGAGAGCTTTGTCGAGTTGTGGCAGGTCTCAGAATGCCAGGACACGCTGAACTCGATGTTTTCCTTCAGATTTCTGGTCACTGGTTTCCATATTTGGATCCTGACTGTCACAGCACACAGACGATGAATACATGCATTTGACAGGTCAATTCTTCGTGTTTGTAACAAGTTATTGCTGTGGCTCTATCCCTAATATACCCAATTTTATAACGATGCTTGTTCTAAGAGTCTCTTACTGATGGATAGAGTACAAAATTGGTAGGGAAGGGGAACAAATACACCAGGACCCCTGGGGAAAAGTGAGGTGAAGTTCAGAAGAATGTCTCTTAAATATGTTGGTGTTTGGGTTCTCATTCAATATGCATGCACAATGTACATTTTAGGTCTTTCTGATGGGTTTGGTAAAACAAGCTTTACCAAATTAGACTGCCTTAAACAAGAGAAAGATGGGCAATCTCCTCTCATGCAATTCACAGCCTCAGAAACCCAATGGAGGGTCAACTATGAGTGGGTTCTGATTTAATGGCAATGAGTCTACTGTACAAAAGATATTTGGAATAGCAGCAATTCACAGCTAGCTGTGAATCTGACTATTAGCCATACTGAAATACAAAGACAAAGATTTCGTTTCAGGTAACAAGTAATGTGTCTCCAAAAAGCCTCCTTCTTGTTGAGTGAACACCTTTGAAGTCCTCACCCACTGGCTATTGGAGTTCTGGTAGCAGAGCCTGTTGCAATTCTCGCCCGAAGGCAGTACTTCTCTGGTGGATTCAATCCACTAGCCACTCTTAGGGAAAAAGATGGGCAATTTTCTCCCATGTGATTCACAGCCTTGGAAGTCCACTGGCGGGTCACGTTTAAGTCAGTTATGACTTGATGGCAATGACTCTGGAGGTTTGCGTTGCTCACCGGAATTGCTTACCTTGCTAATGTCAGATTCCGATTTGCTGGAACACATGCTCTGAAGTTCCTTAACCAGGTCAGCTTCATCATCAGAACCCAGGGAGAGTCTCTGATCCAGAGTCAACGGTAATGAGAGGTCATTTTCCAAACACCTAATGCAAAGTTCAGAAAAGGGCTTTTAGTAGTGAAAGCAGCAACTCCACACCAGAGATGAAACTCTACACTGTACTTCACACTTCAGAATGTGGTGAAGGGTAGAGAAAGTTTCTTATATACTTTAAACCAAGTAACAAATGTCATTTAGTGCAACAACCCACTCCCATACCCTGAGAACTTAGAATAAAGGGTTATAACTCCCACACACAATTCTCCTCAACTGCTAATTTTATTTTATATGGAAAACTACTCTGACTTGTAACATTCTAGCTTCCTTTTTTCTGTCTTTAAGTGTGATAAAAATAAGGCATTAAGCACAGGGGGATGGTGTGATATCCTGGAGCAAAGAGGGATTTTAATGACTTTACTGCTTTCTAGTATATGGGATTTGGGGAGATATACTATAATCATTCACATTCACACACACACACACGCACACACACACACACACACACACACACACACCCCCCTACCTTCAATTCCTCAGTTCTCTCTTCTATAAAGAGAACAGAAGCCTACATCACAAGGTATTTGGAAATTCTACATGGCGCAGTGTATCTAGACCTGGCAGACAGAAGCTCTGTGATGTCATTTCCTTGTTCTTGTCTCCTTTGCCACCTCTCCCTTCTGTACTGCTGTGAATTAGGGTGGTTGTTGTTATGATGTGCTGTTGAGTTGACTGTACCTCATAACGACCCTGTAAACAATAGCTTTGAACCCTGCCCTAATCTGAGCCACTCTCACTGTCTTGACACACATGACCACATTACCCCAGTTACTGTGTCACTTCATCTGATCCAGGGTCTCCCTTTCCTGTGCTGTCCCTCCACTCTTCCAAGCATGATGTCCTTCTCCAAGGACGGGACCCTCCTGGCAACATGCTCAAACTATGTAAGACAAAGCTTCACATTCCCTGCTTCCAACAAACAACTTGGTCTCACTTTCTCCAGGATAGAGTTGTCTCAGCAGTCCATAGTATGCTCAATGCTCTTCTCCAGCACCACAACTCAAAGACACTGGATTCTTCTTCTGTCACCCTTAGTCCCTGTCCAGCTCTCTGATACATAGCAAATAATCAGAAAGACCATGGCCTGGATCAGGTGCACCTGAGCGTCTAGACTGACAGGTTGCTCTTCAGTACTCTGGAGAGGTCCCTGACAGCTGATTTTTCCCATGCAATTCATCTTTTAATTTCCTGATTGCTGATGCCAAGAGTGTTGACTGTGGAGCCAAGCAAGCTGAAATTGTTAACAATCTCAATCTCTATCTATCATGGTGCTGCCAATTAGTCTAGTGGTGAGAATATTTGTTTCCTTGGTGTTGCACTTCAATCCATACTGAAGACTACAGTCCTAGACCTTCTGCAGCAAATGTTTCAGGTCTTCTTCAGTTTCGACAAGCACTGCTGTGTGATCTGCATAATGCAGGTTGTTGAGTCTTCCTCCAATCCTGATGACACATTCCTCCTCATAGAGCCCTGTTTCCCGAATGATCTGTTCTGCATATAGATTGAATAGGTATGGTACACATCCCTGACACACTCCTTTCCTGATTTTTAACTACGCAGTCTTTCCTTGCTCTATTCTGAGGACTGCTTCCTGGTCCATGTATAGGTTTTGCATGAGCACAATCAAGTGCTCAGGATTCCTACTCTTCTCAAGGTTAGCCACAATTCGTGTGATCCATGCAGACAAATGTCTTTCCACAGTCAATGAAACAAATTAGATATTCCTCTGGTACCCTCTGCTCTTAGCCAAGATCCCTCTGCCATTAGCTACAATTTCCATGATGCCACGGCCTCTTCTAAGCCCAGCTGGCACTTCTGGAAGTTCTCAGTAAACGTACTGTTCCAGTCACTTTTTGGAAAATCTTCAGTGAGATTTTGCTTGTGTGTGATATTTTAATGATTATGTTTAATAATTTCCAACCTCTGCTGGATGACATTTTTGGAATGGGTATAAATATGGATGTCTTCCAGTCAGCTGGCCAGATAGTTGTCCTCCAGATTTCTTGGCACAATCTAGTGAGCATGGCCAGGGCAGAAACAGTTGAAATATGTCAACTAGTATTCCCTCTTTTCCTGGGGCCTTGTGTTTTGCCAATTCCTTGAGAGCAGTTTGAAACTCCTCCTTCATCACCAATGCCTTTTGATCAAATGTTGTTTTATTAAATTCTTCTGTGTCAGCCAATTATTTTTGGTACAATGACTCCATGCTTTCGCTCTATCTTCTTTTGATGCTTTATGGATCAATCAATATTATGCCCATAGCATCCTTAAGTATTGCCACTTGGGGCTTTTATTTATTCTTTAGTTCCTTCAGCTTAAAAAAATGCCAAGTGAATTTGCCTCTTTTGATTTTCTGACTCCAGCACTTTGCACATTTCATTATAATACTTTGCTTTTTCTACAAAAGCTACCCTTTAAAATCTTCTGCTCATCTCCTTAATTTCTTTATTTCTTCCCTTTGCTTTGGCTTCTCTGTGTTCTAGTGCAATATTCAGAGTCTCTTCTGACATCCATCTTGGTCTTTTCTTCCTCCTCTGTCTTTGCAATGACCTTTTATGTCCTTCCTGTATGATATTCTTGATATCTTCCCACAACTCATCTGGTCTTCATTCACTAGGGTTCAAGACATCAAACTTGTTCCTGAGATGGTTTTTCAATTCTGATAGAATAGACTCAAGGTCAAACTTAGGTTTCTGTGGATTTGTTTTCATTTTCTTTAGCATCAGACTGAGCTTGCATGCGAGTAGCTGATGGTCTGTTCTACAGTCAGCACCTAGTCTAGTTGTTGTTGTTTTTTTCATTATTATTATTTTTTGTGTGTACCATCAAATCAGATCTGACTGGTACAGGAGATTGTTCTCCTTCTCCAGCAGAGTATCTGGTGGATTCGAACCATGTATCTCTGGGATTGCAGTGCAGCTTCTTGCCACTAGGCCACCAGAGCTCCCTCTAATCTAGTTTTCACAGCTGATATTGAGCTTCTCCAATGATTCCTTCCACGACATAATCAATCTGATTGCTGTGTGGGCCATCAGGTGAGGTCCATGTGTATAGTTGCTGTTTACATTTCTTATAACTTTTGTAGAAAACTGATTGTATAAAATTCTATCTTTCTATTGCCAGCCTAGTTTCTCTCACCACATTCATATTTTCTGACTGTTGTTGTTGTTATGTGCCGTCGAGTCGCCTGCGACTCATAGCAACCCTATGTACAACAGCCCTAAACTCCGCTCTGTCCTGTGCCAATCGCACTGTCTCTGACACTCCCATCCCAATTATCCCAGTCACTGAATCAATCCACCTCATAGAGGGCGTTCCTCTCCTGTGCCGTCCCTCCACCCTCCCAAGCATGATGTCCCTCTCTAAGGACCGGTCTCTCCTCACAACATGTCCAAAGTAAGTTAGACGGAGCCTCAGAATCCTTGCCTCCAAGGAGCCACCCGGTTTAACCCTCTCCAGGACAAATCTGTTTGTTTTCCGAGCAGTCCATGGTATTCTCAATACTCTTCTCCAGCACCACAGCTCAAAGGCATCAATTCTCCTTCTATCCTCCTTGGTCACTGTCCAACTCTCTGATGCATAACAGGTGATTGCGAAGACCATGGCCTGTATCAGATGCACCTTAGTCTCCAGAGAGACACCACTGCTCTTCAGCACTTTGGAGAGGTCCCTAACAGCAGACTTTCCCATGGCAATGCGCCTTTTAATTTCCTGGCTGCTGGTGCCAAGACTGTTGACTATGGAGCCAAGCAAACTAAAGCTGTGTACAATCTCAATCTCTTCACCATCCATCCTGATGCTGCCAATTGGTCCAGTGGTGAGAATCTTTGTCTTCTTGACATTGAGCCGCAATCCATATTGTAGGCTGCAGTCCTTGACACTCTGCAGCAGGCGCTTCAGGTCCTCCTCAGTTTCAGCAAGCAGGGTTGTGTCATCCGCATAACACAGATTGTTGATAATTCGTCCACCAATCTTGACCCCACATTTCTCCTCATAGAGCCCAGCCTCCCGGATAATCTGTTCTGCATATAGGTTGAATAGGGTTCCTTATTCCTTGTCCCCAACTGTTGCACTCCTGTCACTCATTAAAGGGTCCTCGATATCTGTTAAGTGCTAACATACACGTTTCTGGGCTACAATGGGATAAATCTACAAACTACCCCAGTATTTTTATTTTGACCAAATCATCATTTATACCTCAAATTTTGTAAGCTAAAATAATCAATCTAGGAACAGCATTATTTTTAAAAACATAATTATTATTGTAAATATTTAGCACTTAAAAGCATATGTCATTCTCTACTTTATCAAGAATTAACAAAATCAGTCATCTAAGCATTGGGATCAGAGGAAGACACATCTGTTATGCCGATGACACAAACTTGCTTGCAGAAAGTGAGGAGGGCTTGAAGTGCTTGCTGCAGAAGATTAAGAAGTGCAGCCTTAAACATGGATTGCATCTGAACATAAAGAAAACAAAAGTCCTTATCAGCAGGCTAGTAGGTAATATCATGATAGATAGAGAAAAGACTAACATTGTCAATGATTACATCTTACTTGGATCCACAATCAGCACCCTTGGTACTGGCAGTCGAGAAATCAAAAGAGAAATTGCACTGGGAAAATCTGCTGTCAATGACCTCTCCATTGTCGACAAATGAGCAATAATGTCAATGTCAGTTTAAATGCTAAGGTGTACCTGGTTTGAGCCACACTCTCTTCAGGTACTTGTTATGCATCTGAAAGCTGGACGATGACTAAGGTAGCAGAAGAGGAATCAATGCCTTTGGATGGCGGTGTTGGAGAAGAGTATTGAACATCCCATGGACTGCCAGGAGAACAATCAGGACTGTCCTCAAGAAAGTGAGACCAGGGTGCTCCTTGGAGGCAAGGCTTTTGAAATTCCATCTCACATACTTCAGGCATGTTGTCAGGAAGAACCAGTCCTTGGAGAGGGACATCGTGCTTGAAAAAGTGAAAGGGCCATTGGAAGAAAGGAAGTCCCTCAATAGGATTGATTGACACAGTGACTGTAGCGATAGGCTCAAGAGGGTTTGAGATGTTAAGGATGGCATGGGCGGGGGTAAGGTTCCGAGTGACTGTTCACAGGATCGCGTACTCACAGCTGACTCACCAGCACGCTAACAACAAACATTCCTGTTTAAAAGATCATGAACCCACAATTTTACCATATATTCCACCAAACGTATTAAGAATTATTATTAATTTTCACAAAAAATGTGTAGCTAGTAATGTTTCTAACTTAAAAAAAAATAAAGACAAATCAGAGGTATATTTAACTAAGCAACATTTTTCTGATTCTGCTCAAGTCCAGTAGTATCTGAACAGTATTTACAGCTTTTACAAATATTACCTTACCAGTACAATGGCTGCAGAGACTCATACAGAGAACATATAACATTCAAAAGAGTGATTTAAATTACTTCATTAATCACCATTGTTTGTTATGAGTTAAATCTGAATGGAAACTTACTTTTGTCTTGACAGAGATGAATTCCTGTTGTAATTTGGTTGTGATAAAGTCTTATTTTTGATACCTGTTTTGGAAAGAAGTGTAAATGTTAGTTGTGCGAACATCCATCTCTAGAGGATGTTCTCGGAGCAGTCCCATGAGCAGCCTCTTGAAATGGGAACAGCCAAGAATAATAGGTTATTTGTACATGGAGCTCTGGTGGCCTAGTGGCAAGAAGCCACGCTGCAATCCCAAAAGGTACGTGGTTCAAGGCCACCAGCTGCTCCACGGGAGAAGGGTGGACAATCTCCTCCCATGTGATTAACTGTCTCTGAAAACATTTGGCACTTACATAGCCCAGTGAGGCCCACCTGCAGGAGTCCTAGGGATGCAGTGGTTAACATCTGACAGCGGAGAGGTCAGTGGTGTGAGCCTACCAGCTGCTCTGCAGACAGGTGAGGCTACTGGAAGCTTCTGCAAAAATTATAGGCTTGGAAACTCTACGTGGCTTTCTACTCTGTCCTACGGGATCTCTGTGAGACATAACTGACTTGAAAACTAAAGGTCTGCATTTATTAACCCCACCTAAGATAAGTTCAAGAATTCTGCTTGTATCAACTACCCCATAGTCCAGTTCTTATTGCCCTTAGGTCCAATTTTAATACTTGCCTTTTGAGGGTGGTATTTTTTCTTTCTCTCTTTTTGTTTGCCTTGAAACAACACTGACCAGGATAGCAAGCAGAGTTTTTGGATTTCTGGGGCTCTGCTGGATAATAGTATGTGGTATTAACAGGGTCTGGTATAGTTTGTGTTCAGAATTAACTGGAAGATGGATGGTTCAAATCCATGCAGTGGTGCTGCCAAAGGAAGATGTGGGACTCTACAACTCTAAGATAATAACCATAGAAGATCCCGTGCAGTGCAGTTCTTTTCTGAACTACAGGGGCCGCCACCAATGGACACGGACTCAATGGCAACGTGATTCTGGTTTTTCAGAAATTTAAGTTTCTGTAGTCTTGTACTACACAGAGAAGAAAATACAAACAGTATACAAAAAGTCTGGGGTTTAAAAAAAAATAGAAAAATAACAGACTCATTGTTATTGTTGTTGTTAAGCGCCATCGAGTCGCAGGTGACTCATAGCGACCCTATGAAGGAGAGCCATCGACGCGTGGGTGCCTTTCATCCTCTCTCCAGGTTCATAGGGTTTCCGAAGGCAAGCTATTATGGAAGTGGATGGCCATTCACAGACTTATTAGATGTTGTAAATACATGAATTAGTGTCAATAACACCCCAAAAATGCCTGTCAATACTGCTTATGATGTCAAACATGTATCTCACTGTGGGTTATGGGCAAAAAAGGTTTGCGAGACACTGTTAGAAACCATTTTCAACTCTGAAACCACAGCTTCCTGTGTTGTTGTGATGCACCCTCGAGTCAGGACTGACTGACTGAGAGGCAGTAAATTGCCAGGCAGACGATCGCTCTTATCCTCTGCAGAGCAGCTGGGGCATCCAAGCTGCGTGCTTTTGGTTTGGCATCGCAATTCCTTAACACTAAGTCGTCAGAGCCCTCTTAGCTTTCTGTGATATCCCACATTGTTCGGGCTCATTAAATCATTCAGTTGCTTCTAAGAGTAAATTCTAAAATGATATGAGTGTTGGTAATAAAATTTTCTCAAAAAATTATTTTGGGGAATTGGGTTTTCTATATTCACCAAAAGCAAATCGGCAGAGACAAGGTCCATAGTAGTGGCTTTGCTGGCAGTTTTGTCTTTATGATCAGAAAGCTGCAGTTAGTAGGTCCCAGTTCGCTATGTCTGCTCACGGGTGACAGCCCTACTCTCCATGAGCCGGTGACCCAACATGACTGTCCACTCTGCTTTAGCGTTGTTTCTTTTTAACAGTTTGTGCGGCTATCAAACTTTACACACTTAACTGATGAGCATGGGATGCAAATGGATTTATAGCTTGTAATTTTGGGTTTCCCCCCCAAAAATTATGTCAAAGTCCCAAATCAATCTAACTTTTACTGGGTCCTAAAGAGCTGAAATTAGTTATATATGTCAGCAATCCACAATAGACATAATGCGTGGAAGCATATTTTTATTCCTGTTTAAATATGGGTTTGCTTTAAGAAAAATATTTACGGTTCATAGAACTGCTGATCACCATATTATCAAAGTTGAACGGACTGAGTGCCATGGTGGTAGATGTATTACATTACCTTTCTTTGGATGAAAACTCAGCGCATAATTCAGTGCTCTCATCAGTTCCAAGCCCGTGGACCTGAAAGTCTCTTTGTAGTGAGTCTACATATTACTCAGAAAAAGTGACCCATTCTCTAGTAATTCATTCATTCAAACAAGTATGTATTCAATGTGTCCTCTTGTTTCATTCTAGTTATTGCAAATAAAGCAGTCAAAACAAGTGCAATTCCCTGCTATCATGGAATTTACATCCTAATTAATTATAAGCAGATTCTCGAGAATGCATAATTGGGACAAAAATATATAAAATTAGCACTTTATAAAGAACTTAGGTGGGTATTATATATCAGCTGTACTCTTATTTTTTGAAAATTGAAGGTTGGTACGGGGACAACACATACAAGGAGAAAAAATCTTGTTCATAAATATAGTTGTTGATGCTACTAAAAAATTTATTTAAGAAATGATAGCTACCAAGATAAAAAGAGAAACAGTTCATTGCCATCAAGTCAGAACCTACTCATATCTGACCCTCCAGTGAGTTTTCAGAGCCATAAAGTGCAATGGAGGAGACTGCCCGTCTTTCTCCCTCAGAGAAGTTCTTGGATTCAAACCGCCAGAGAGGTGCTTCTCCTGAGTCAGCAGGGCAACGCTCCATGGCTGCACCATCAGATAAAAAGTAAGTTTCAGAATTCTCACTAATCCCCCAAACTCTTGGGAATACTATTCCAATGTCCAAACAAACTAACAAGCATAAAGAAGGTAGAGAACTGAGTTGCATTGTGTTGTGTTTTACATGAGTTCACTGTGAATTTCAGCCAAAGGAAAACAAGGAAACTACCAGACAAATGGTTTTTACTCCACGAACATGTGCACTGAAACCCTCAGACATGGGTTTTGTTGGATGCATGATGACAAACATAAAAGTACATCTGCATTCAGAAACCAGCCATGAGCACCGGCAACTTCTAAGTAACATCTGCGCGCCCCTTACCGTCCTCACTCAGGTCCGGCTTGCTCCAGCTGGGCGACGAGAAGCGGCCAGACTTCTTGCGAGGACTGGTGCTCACCTTCCTCCAGGCACCATTCTCCCCTTTCTTCTTCCCACAACTGCTGTAACTTGACACAATGGAGAGAGGGAAACTTCCTCCTTTGAAATCAGCGATATACTGGTCGAGCTCTGAAACAACAGATTGTGTTTTAGCAAAAGGAAGGCAGTGCCTAATCCAGTTTTACACAGCAGAGCAAACTACAGAATTAACTCTATGAGTCAAATAAATGGACTCTTAAAAACCTGAAAACCTTCAGCCAGAAGCCTTGTGAATCAGCACAAGCTTGACATTGAAGACAGGGAATTAAAATATGAAGCAACAATTAATGGTGGTGAGAGAGTTCTTGCGCAATGCTAGAAAATGTCCATTAGTGTGAAGGTAATTTCTGTGGTGAGTAAGAGAGAGGAAAGAGTTTTCTAACGACAAATTCAAAGAAGTATTGTATGAGCTCGTGCCATCCCTCCCGGCCTAGCATGATGAGCGTACACACCTGTTCTTGGGAGGGGACAGCCATGCAGTACAGCTTTATTAAGTAAGATGCTGAGGGCAGCTTTAACCACAGCTTGTTGTCCTTGGCTAGGGTGCTTTCTAGCAGCTGACTGTCCAAGGCCAGGTTGCCGTCTCACAGAGGCTCTTGACAATATTGCTTCTTGAACTCTGGGTGCAATGGAGGTGTTCCACAGCTTGGACATCCACCTTGAAGAGAGGGCCAGATGCGCTGCAGTCAGGAGCAGAACGCTCATGAATTACACACAACTCTATACAGGTAGTATAGGGCAGGCTGTAAGACCACCGGGGAGGACAGAACATAGCCCTGTCCACAGAGAACTCTGGCTGCTGCACTGGGCTCCTGGCAGGTAACCTCTGCTTGGCTAAGGTCATGATAACGATGTGATCTGGGGTTTGGGGTCACTGGGTAGCAGTTTTCCTGGAGATGGATCTACCACATGGGCAAAGAATCACGCCAATGCAGTGGACCCCAATGAAACATGGACACTGAAGGCTGAGTGAGTGTCCCCCAGTGGCAACACTCTGTGAGAACTGTTATTCATCAATACCGGGAAAGAAGACACTTTACTCCACGAGGAAGAGAGATTAGAAGTTGTTCTCCATGTGTTTTCTCCTTTTGTTGATTTTAATTGGCATACTTCCCTGTAATAAACTGCCGTCTCGAGTATGACAGCTTTCAATGAGTTCAGAATCCTTCTAGACATTATTCTCCCTCTGAAGGTCATGCTCCTCCCGTTTGACTTACAACCTAGGAAACCTGATGGAGGGTCAGCGATGAGTTCGATCCAACTCAATAGCACTAAGAGTCTTCATGTGATAGGGTCCCTGGTGGTGTGAGGCATAAGTTACTGGGCTGCTAACCAAAAGGTTGACGGTGAAAATCTGCCAGGTGTTTCCCAGGAGAAAGATTGGCAGCCTTCCCTAGTGAAGACTCGCAACTCTGGGAACCTGATGGAGGGTCAATATGACCTGAAACTAATTCATTAATAGTAGGTTTAAGTTTGAGGGTGTTTTTTTCTCCCTCCTGTGATGGATTGGATTTTGACACCCTACAATATATACTGGATCCTAGTCCTTGTACCAGGAAATGCATTTCTGAATACATTTTGAAAGGGTTTTATTAAGCTAATTACATTATATCAGTGTAAAGCATGTCTGAAACATAATTACCTCTGAGTTATTAAGAGCAGATCAGAAGCAGAGGCAAGCATATGCTGAGGAAGAAATGCCATGTAAGGACTGCTAAAAACCAAGGAATAAGAGGTGCTACCAACAAGGAAAGCATCCTGGTTTTGGGGTTTTCAGCCTCCAGAGCTGTCAGAGAAGAAATCTCCGTTCTTTAAAGATACCTTGTATGTCATGTACGTTACAGCAGCACAAAGAGATTAAGGCATCAAGAGACTGCTCCTGGTATCAGAAGCGAGGGAGGTCTTGGGACTCTTCCTTCTCACGTCACAGTCCAAGCTGCTCACAACCATGGCAAAGTATTATTGCAGATCTGTTAGCTTCTAGAAATCTTGCAAGTGAGATTATCCAACAGCAAAGTAATTTAAGTTTACCTCTAATTATATATTTGCAATGACACTGCCTATTAACACAACTCTCTCTCTTCTTATACTTGAAAAGATCTTTGGGAGCAGAAAGTAAGACTGGTTTGTTTAAAGAATAGCCACATGCATAAGTGAATATATGGGAAAGAAGGTAAGCTCACAGATGGAAAAAGGCAGGAGAAGTAAGATTCCCCAGAAGACTGTGTCTAAGACCACTGTTGAGAAGACATGTAAGAGTTTACATCTGAAGATTTCTGAAGTTGGATGGCTCTTAAAAATATTTGGCAAATGAAAGCTGCCTTCCTCAAAGCAGGGGTTCATTTCCTGTAGGAAGGCTTAGCTCTGCAGAGAAAGAATGTGGTAGGCCAGCTATAGTAAGTGAAGTTACTACATTAATAGCTATGAGTGACTATTAGGTCAAACCATCTCTATCAAGGTCTGGAGCACTCAATAACAATCAAAATTCTTTCAAAAAAAGATTCTACATTGTTTCAGAATTAAACAGAAACTGGATAAGATTAAAGGCCATAGGAACAAAACCAAATCTCTTAGAATAGGAAAGTTTTTAAAGCTTTTAGTTATTAACATAAGCCATTTGAGTATTGTTAAAACTATTACTCAGGTATTTAAGACAGATCTGTTCTGAGCATCTCAGTTTAGTTGCTAGTGATCTGTAATTCATAATGCAATTCAAGGGGGAAAATGACACTACAAGAGTGAACACAGACAGGATTCTGGCATTTTACAAAAGAAACCTAAATGACAGTGATTCTTCAAGGTGCTAACAATTCATTTTATAATTAACAAACTGAGCTGTTTGGAGACAGTGACCTTCCTTATATTTTGTGTCAGTATCTTATCAATGACGTCAGCACAGGTCATATAAGCCTTTTGAATTCTGTCATCAGTTCTGAAATCTGTTGAATACCTCATTTTTTTCATTATTATTGCCTTTTATTATGTGTAACTTTATAAATGTGACAGTTATTTGAATAGTAAATGATAAATTTACTCTGTGTGTGAATAACTGAGAATATTAACATCAGAAAAGTATGTGTTAGAAAAAAAAACACCAAACAAAACAAAAGTACGTGTTGCAATATATTAATTGTCAATGATAAGATGCACACACGTACACGTAATTGCACATACACACAGGCCCACACAAGCACAGTCGCAACTGTAGTTAGTCTCAACTGACTAAATCCTAAATCTGGGACTATCTGAACAACAAACAGCCAACAGAGACTCAGTGTCTCCTAAAGCAGAGAAGGATTTATTTGAGGAGAGTGATTTGGTGAACAGAACTGCTATCATCTCCTTTAAGAGACAGAAGGATTCCTGAGCTTGAAGCCCCACAGCCTGGACGCAATCCCATCAACCCCCTGGCTCTTCTGCATCAGCCTAGCTGAGGGGCAGCGGGAATTTGTGACGTGTGACGCTGATGCTGTCTGTTATGCTGGGAGGCAGAAAGTCCTTCTGAGGTGGCTCCCGTGAAACTGTGCCCAGCTAGTTTGCAAGTGGGGAAACATTCTCCGTTCTCTTAGTTCTTTACATTGACTGTGATCACACAAGAAGACTGAACGTAGTTCCAAAGACTCTTGGGAAGAGGCACAATAAACATGTATTTAATTATGATACAGAAAAGGGGTCAATAATATGAATACAATTTTTTTCCTTAGGTTTCAGTAAAGAAAGATAACATACAATTTAAACTGATGGTAGGGTTCTTGCTTTCCACGCAAGTGACCTGGGTTTGGTTCCTGGGTAATAAACCTCATTTGCAGTCCCCACCCACCGCTTGGTAGAGGTCCGTGCATTGCTACGACGCTGAACAGGGTTCATTCAGCAGAGTTTCCTGACTCTGATGGACTAGGAAGAGAGACTGGACAATCTACTTCTAACTAAAGTTAAAAAAACCCTGTATCTACTGCCGTCCAGTTGACGGCTACCCATAGTGACCTTACTGGACAGAAATGCTTGCAGGGTTTCCTTACAGTGACAGATAGCTTCATCTTTCTTCCGTTCGTGGGTTTAAATCACTAATCTTTCAGTTAGCATGCAAATGCTTTAACCATTGCACTGCCACCGTTCTTTACTTCTGTGCATCAGAACAGTTCAATCCGTAGCCAAGAGATCTGGCTGGCCAGTCTGTCCTGGCATGGAGAGCATGAGCTGGGGACTGACTTGATGACATCTAAGAACAAGGTTTAATATGCTCCTCCTTCTCCCCTCCATTTAGTCATGAAATTGGTAGTTTGTCTCACGGTGAAGAAACAGAGTATCTGTGATAAAGGGGTATTATTTACATCTCTTTGAAAATGGACTTCAATGCAGGCAGCGAGGAAGTGCAGGATCTTTTCAGGTAGCTAATGAGAACTAACACGTTTGTCCTTGACAGGGTGAAACCAAGCTGCTCCTTGGAGGCAAGGATTGTGAGACTGTCTCACGTATTTCAGGCATGTAGACAGGAGGAAGCAGTGTTTGGAGAAGGGTACAATGCTTGGAAGTATCGAGGCACAGCGTAGGAGAGGAAGACCCAGATGAGACAGATCGATACAGAACTGGGATAATGAGGGCAGATGTGTCAGAGACAATGCGGTTGGCTCTGGATAGCTAGGAGTCATAGTCGACTTGACGGCACACAACAACAATTTTCTGGTGACAGACCTTTCCTTCCTTTTAATTTGCTCCGGATTGTCTATTGAAAATCTTATTGTGTCTATGTTTGGTCTCATAAACTGCTTCAATGGAGAACACAGTAAGCACGTAAGCCTTATTAACAGGGGAAGTGTTTCACATGATCAATAATATGCAGTTTTAAAAAATACTACTTTTTCTGGCATAAAATACTTGGTGATGTGAGAGGTTGCCCAGAAGACAGTAAGTTTCTTCTTGGAAATATAAAGCTGAAAGCTTTGATGAGGGTTTTGTAATAGAAAACTACAATCTAGTTTTTTCCAAAAAGCCAGTTTCCTTAAGAAAAAAGCCAGTTTTCTTAGGAAGTATCCATTAGACAAGTCCTGGTTATCTTCTGTCAGGGTGCAGAGCACGGTCACTCCATGTTGAGGGCAAGAGGGGGCCCGAGGAGGACGGTAAACTTTCTAACTCACAAATATCCCAAAGTAGCTACCTGTCTATTTTAAGGAGTCAAACAAGGGTTAGTGACACTTACTTTACTGTTGCTTGGGCATGGCCTGGCACTACTGGACAAGACAGGAAATATTTTGGCCCAAGAAGGGCTTCTGGTGTGCCCAAGCGGGCCAGGCAGGAGTTGAGCTGGCGCCAGACGGACAGGACCCAGTCGACCGTTTTGCACACAGGATCACAGGGAGGGGGCAGCTTTCCTCTGAACTGGAGACAAGAGGCAGAAAAGACAGATTGGTGGTGCTATTCTTGGATTTGATTTCAAAAGTAAAATATCAGAAATACAAGTACTTCCAAGTACAAAATAATTGGAAATGTAGTGTAGCCTGGTTTTCCCTTCATCTGAGACGGCAGATCCTGGGCACCACAATGGGAGTTAAATGTCAGAAGGATGAGTGTTTGTCTTGTTGAATCCTCACTGTAAAACCAAGAAGGGCATTTGAAGGGCATTTTTACTTCTTCTTCCATAGAGTAAATGAAAACATAAGAGGTGGTAACTTGACTACAATCCTTCAAGTTGTAGAACAGTTTTAGAATTTATTTGCAACAGAAATCAGCATCAGGACAGAGGAACAACACTGCTCAGCACTTAACTGAGACTAAAGACGTTGTTCATCACATTGAAGATGAAATGACACAATGGACCAAGTGTTGGGCTGCTCACAGGCTACTGGCTCAAATCTGCCAGTTGCTCTTGGGGTAAAGATGAGGCTTCTGTAAAGATTTTCGGTCTTGGAAACCCTTTGGGGCAGTTCTACTCTGACCTGTAGGATCACTACCAGTAAGAAATCAACTCCATGGCAGGGGCTGGGTGGATTGTTGCATGCTGGCAAGATAATGTCAACTCATAATGACAACAGTATGTGACAGAAGAGAGAATTGCCCATTTGCTCTCTTTTTTGGCTGTAATTTTTATGGAAGCAGATTGCTTTTTATAAAAGACTTTTCCCCACGGAGCTGTGAGATGGGTCTGAACTGCCAACTTTGTGGTTACCAGCTGGGTACTGAGCTGTTTATGGCCCCAGGACTCCTAAATAACTATTCCGTTTATGCCCACAGGACTTCTAGATAACTATTATGTTAGATACAGAACTCTTTTCTTCCTGGAGTTTAACACGGTCGATGATCTCTAGTCATGCTTCACTTCCTAAGGTGGGGATGGGAAAGGGGGATGAGAGGACAGGAAGGCTTAGCTCTGGGGACAGTTGACAGAAGAGGGCGTCTCCTCTGAATACACCCTTGGGCCCCCCAGCTACCTCATAAAGACCATATGTTAAATGAGGGAGAATGAGGCCAGACTACTCTTTTTCCCTCAGTGCCCAGGGAAACATCAGTCATTCCCAGAAGATTGCACTGTTCCCTTAATGAGTGTCTAATAAACTAGGTGCAGAGACTGGATTGCAGGTGCTGGTGGAGAAATACGTCCCATTCTCCCAAACGCACATTGACATGTGCCTGCCCTGAAGACATGTGGAAACAGGTGGACATCCCTTCTTCCAAAAATACAAATGGTGTTTGTGTGAAATTTCTCATTGTGTATGTTTGGTGTATAGCAATCATGGTTATTATTTGACAGTGCACGGAAAACTGGTCTTTCCTTGAAGGAACTATCCAAGAAATGGAATTTCCAGTTATTACAGGTTTACTTTCCTTAATATATATTCATTTAAGGTGGAGAAAATTTTGTGAAGATGCTTTAAGAGCTGTATTTAAAAACAAATTTACTTCCATATCCTCCTCCTATTCCTGATTCTTCTTCTTTCTCAGTGGAAATTGTTGTTTTTAGGAAGACATTTATCACATAATACTGGCCAATTCAACTTTTAACAAGTGTATAACTTACTGGCATTATTATATTAGTCACTGCTACAACTCTTGTTGTTGTTGTTGTTATGTGCCATCGAGTCGTTTCCGACTCATAGCGACCCTACTATGCACAACAGCTCTAAACCCTGCTCTATCCTGCGCCAACTGCACCGCCTCTGCCTCCTTGAACACACAGGGAACTGACTAGTAGATCCATATTGGTTATTCATTCCAAAAAGGTGATTCAATAGAATGCAAAACTCACTGAACTAATATCACATACTACTAAAATCTTACTGAAGATAATTTAATGACAGTATATGAACAAGGAATTACCCCAATTCAGGCCAGAGTCAGAAGAAACCATGGAACCAGGGATAACACTGCCTTTGCCTGATGGCTTTTGACCAAAAGCAGAGAATACTAGCGATGTTTGCACTTGTGTTTTATTGACTATGTAAAGAAACTGGACTCTGTGGATGACCAAAAACCGGTCTAGATAACACTGAGAAGAATGGGGATTTTAAATAACTGCTCACATGGAACCTGTACATAGACTAAGAAGCAGTGTGGCCACTCAGAAGCAGTGTGGCCACTCTGGCCGGACTAGTGAGCTGAGAAGTGGAGTAGAGAGAGCTATAGAAGGGAGGGCTGGTGTTAGAAGAGACAGAGGCAGGCATGGAAGTGTGGAGGCAGGTCAGACCTCATAGAAGTCGGCTCTGTGCTTCTGCTGTTCTTGATGGGGATTCTTCCCTTGTGGAATCAGTGGACGTAAGACCCTGCTATCCCCTAGCCAGCTTCTGCTCTGTTTCCATACTTACTGGAGTGGCTGAGAATGGAAGATTCCCTGAGCTTATAGCTTTGATATATTCCTTAAATCCTAAATCAGTCTCCAAATTCCCCTTTTCGCTAGGGAAAAAAACCCCAACAAAAACAAACCAACAAAATCAGACTGGCTAACAAAATTAAGAGTATTTTTGTGAGTACTGTGTTCCTCTAAAAAAGAGCTCTATGAGATCAAATTGTCAAAAATTGCTTTGAAATTAAAATGTTAAGGGAGACAAGAATATGGCCAACAGAACAACTAGACAGAAATACTGAGAATAGTCTGTCAAATGCCCCTTGAATAATATGTGTGGAAATCTCTGAATGGGATCTTAAACTGTTGTATAAACCTTTACTGAAAACACAATATCCTGTTATTTTTTTAAATAGGAAGTCATATTATATTGATCTCATTTTCTTGACATGCTCCCAGCAAAATTTCTGAGATCATGTACTAGAATGAATTTATTATAAATTAGAATTGATTTACTACCATGCATGTGTGTGGATTCATGGTAGGCCCATCCCTGAGGTCTTTCATAGTGTTCCATGCCAGAGCAAACTGTAGCCATGAAACACTGCCTGGCCTCCTTGTTCACAGGCTGCAGGCATTGGAGTGGGTTGCACAGCAGGGGAAAAAATATTTAATATCAATGATAGTATAATTGTTTCTCATTATAAATACTAGTAGGAAGGCAACTGGTCTGGAAGGTGTATTTTCCTATATCCTAATAAGAAATTGGAAGAATATATTTTGATCAATTGCCAGTATGCTTTTCAACACTCCCAGAGATTTGGCTGACGTTTTACAGCCATCATTTATTCCCATTTTTTAAAAATTTATTTTAATGAAAGTTTACAGAGACTGGATTTCCATTCATTCATTGTTGTACACTTTCCTCCCCGTCCATCCCCACCCCGCAGTTCGCTTTTCTCTTTGGAAAGTTAGAAAAATAAATAAATAAAAATCTTTGTTATACAATCCAGCACCCCACCCCCAAAGCCCACTCTACTATGCAGCTTTCAGTCTGGACTCTTGTCATGACAATAATACCTAATCATATATTCCTCCTAAACAGTTTTCTCCCTCCCATTTATTCCCACTGTATGTTTGCCCCAGGTGTCCACCTTGGTTAACTCCTTGAAACACTTCTTGATAATAGAAGGGCATTATATTTTTGTCCCCTTTCTGTCCTTTACACTACACCCCAGGTTCCGGTCCTCAAACATAGAGGCACAGAGAGAAAACATGGAACTTTTTTTAAAGTAAGGAAAACCAGAGAGCAGGGGAATATTTTAAAATCTAAAATGGTATAAGTTCTATAAAATAAAAGAGATGTCTTTTATGGTTTTATTTATATATGTGAATTATTTAACAGTACCATTTGCTGCTGTTGTGATGTGTCATCGAGCTGGACCTCACGCAGGGCTTACCCTCCAGCAGTGCCTTTGGGCTCGCAGCACAAGCCATCCAGATGACTTTCAGATATTAATAATGATGATGCCAGTGGATGTATTAGTCATGTGAAAATCTACCTGTCTTAACCTCACCTTTTTACCTACTTGATGGGATCAAACAGAACGTGCAAACTACAATGATGGACATGAGTAGAATTCAAACCCACATTTCCTGACACCAACGTCCCCTTTTCCTTTACATGGGACACTAAGGGCCCCTTCAGGGCACAGGGTCTGCCTTGCTGTTCGTTACCTTGTTCACTACTTTCCTCCTTAGGAACCTCTGCAGCAGACCATGCATGGGCTCGCCGTCCCACCGCAGCTGGACCCAGCGGAAGTGCTGCTGCACCAGCAGGTCAGAGCCCTGGAGACAGGCCTTGGCAATGGTCCCCATCAGAAAGCAGTTCTCATGGAAGTAGTAATGTTCAGACGTTCCATTTCCTAAGGCAAACCAAACATTACAGTTCAGGCTTAACAAGGCATATAACGGGGTGAATGAAAACTCAGTAAGTGAAGGGGAATACAAAGCTTGTACTGGGGAGGCAGAGTAGAACGGTTGGGCAGAAATGTGCTTCTCAGCATGAGATCCCCACTTCGTTACCTTTTTGAAAAGTGCAAGGGTTTTCAGTGCTGCGGCTTTCAAGAGGTGCCAGGAAATCCCCCAATAATTCAGACAACGATGCTTTCTCCAAGTTCTGCAAAATGATGATGGTCTTCTTGTTACCAGGAGACTGTTTCAGCGGGATCAGACAAGCTGTGATGGAAAGGGAAATTCAGGAATTAAAGCTTTTGTGAAATCTACACAGCTTGGCCGAAATGAAATCCAACAGCCGGAAGATCTGGCAAAGATACACAAAGGGATTGCTTTCAAGTTGCTGGGGGGGAGGGAGTGAAAGACTTGGCAAAGTATTTGGCATTATTTAAGACAGGTGAAGCCATTATATACAGTGGTCACTCCTAGTTCCCTAACAGAGTCCAACCAGAACCAACTTGAATGTCCATCAATAACAGAATAGATAAATACATAATACATTCACAGAGGGAGCTCTGGTGGTCTAGCAGTATGAAGTTGCGTTGCAATCTCTCAAAAATCAGCCCGTCTTCAGGAAAAGGATGGGCAATCTCCTCCCATGCCATTAACTGCCTCTGAAAATCCACTGGAAGATCAGCTATGAGTCGGTTCTAACTCAATGGCACACAACAACAACAACAACAACAACAACAACAACAACAACAACAGATTTCTATAAAAGACATGACAGTGAACAAATGACAAGTACACACTGAAATACTGTGGGTTAAGGTCTAGGGAATATCACAATAAAACAAATCACACGAAATTCTCTGACGGCTGCCTATAAAAATTGTGTTAATACTACAGCCCATTAGAGGGAGCTCTGGTGACATCATCTGTGACGAGCTGCGCCCAAAGGCAGTGCCTCTTTGGTTATTCAAATCTACCAGCAGCTCTTTGAGATAAAAGTAGATAGTCTCCTCCTGTGTGATTTACATTCTCAGAGAAACTGCGGGAGAATCAGCTATGAGTCGGTTCCACTTGAAGGCAATGAGATGACGATGTGGTCTATTAACTGTACAACAGAATTGTGAGAATGTTTTATATTTGATGAGAATTCCCAGTATGTGACCCAGAGACATGAAGTTAGAACAAGCTGTTGAAAAATTGGTGCTGATAGACTTGCCTGACACAGGGCTGCCAAAGACCTTCCACTTGTAACAACTGTATGACTTACAAGGTGCAATAAAGTGAAGAAGAGTAAAACTTTTGTATGTACGTGTCTGTTTATGCATGTCTGTACAAGTGTACAACACGGAGGGCTGTCACAACTGAAAAGCTAAGATCCAAATAAAAAATCGTTTCATCTAGTAAAGTTCAAACACAGACAACAGTAAATATATAATTTAGGAGTTCACACATGGCTGGGAAAATGATCAAGAGAAACAAAGGAATGATCACCACAAAAAGCAGCTAGCCCTTAGGAAGTAATTATAAACCATGAGAAGGGTTACCTGCGTACATTCTAAATGCTAAGAAGGTTCTAGTTCTTTGTCTGGTTAGTGGATAAATAAGTATTTTATTATCTAGAAATCTAAACAGGTGTGTGTTTTAAATATGTGTATTTCACAACACAGAAGGTTAAAACACGGAAATTGTTTTTACATTATCCACTGTTGTCAATTCTAACTCAAAGTGACACTACAGAACAGAAAGGAACTGCCCTATGAGGTTCCAAGGCTGTGACCTTAAAGTATGCAGACCACCATGTCTTCCTCCCAGAGGCAGGTTCAAACCACTAACCTTTCTGTTGGCAGCCAAGCACGTTAATCACGGTGCCACTAGGACTCTTGACCTTTACATGACAGATATTTAAAATGCCTTGGAATTATGTAGACAGAATCTCAGACAAATAATTAGGTGCACTTGCTTTATGGAGAGGAAATGAAATCTCAGAGATGTTTAAAGACTTAGATCAAGGCTTCTGATATATGGAAGTGGAAGGCCTGACATCCAGAATTTGTGAGTTTAATGTCCCTCTGAGAAGGACAAAGAACAAAAGAAAAACTGGCTTATGATATTATCAACCCAGATGAAAGTACCCCCTCTAGGAGCTTAATTCTAAACAGATAAGAGGATAAATTCCTGGTGTTCCACTCTCATTGCTTGCTAATTATCAAACATGTTGTTGTTAGGTGCTGTCAAGTACTACTCATAGTTACCCTGTGAACAGATCTGAATCCTGTCCTGTCCCGTGCCGTCCTCACCAGCTCTGGTAAACTTTACTTCACTGCTGCAATCACTGTGTCAATCCATCTCATTGTGTATCTTCCTCTCTTTTGTTGACCTTCCGCCTTTCCAAGTATGATATCCCTTCCCAAGGGACAGCCTCTCTTAGTAATGTATCAAATGTATGAGTGATGAAGCTTTGTTATTCTTGCCTATAAGGAGCACTCTGGGTGCACCTTTTCCAAAACACGCCTGTGCATTCTTTCAGCAGTCCATGGGACATTCAATGTTCTTCTCCAAGCCCATAGAGCAAAGGCATCAATTCCTCTTCCAGCATCCTTACTCACTGTCCAGAAGTTTAGTAAGTGACTGAAAAGACTCTTTCTAATTGCTACTCTCCTCCTGTGTGATAAACTAACTGCCTCTGAAAGCCCACTGGAGGGTCAGCTATGGGTCGGCTCCGCCTCTATGGTACACAACAACAACAACAATAACAACAACAACAACAACAACAACAACTCTCTCTACTAAGGAGTCCTGCTGGCCTAGAGGGTAAGGAGTTGTACTGCCTACCCAAACACACAGGGTTTGAATCCAATAGCCGCTCTGAGGGAGAACGGTGGATAATCTCTCACGTGATTCACAGCCTCTGCAAACCCCCTCGGAGGGTCAGCTATGAGTTGGTTCCCACTTGACAACACGTAACAGCAGCAAGGGTGGAAACAAACGAGGCAGCACTCAGAACATTCTTAAAACATCAAGCATGTGCCAAGCACTCAAATGGCACTGATAATTTAAAACAGACAGAGAATTGTCAATGCACACTTAGGGTGACCAGACCCCATGTGTGACAAGGGTAGAACACGGGCTTTGCCTGGCCACTTTTTACAGAAGCTGACCGCCAGGACTTTATTCCGAGGTGCCTCTGGGCGGTCTTTACTCCGTCTGTTAGCAGCCACGAGCGCAATCTCTGTGCATTACTTTGGAACCTCATTGCTATGAACCAGTGAGTCAGGAACATTTTAAATGAGTATTAACATTTTAAAAGATTCTCAGTTGCCACAGTCTTGGTCAACTTAACTTCCTAAGAACAAGGAGAGCAATTTACCACACTGGAAAGCACGTCAAACCTCCCACCTTCTCCTGGTTCTCATGCTGGTGTATTCTTTTCCCTCTGCTCGTTGCTATAGACACAAAGTATTTCCACTTCTAAACAAACCCCTTGAGTATTTTTTAAATGGATCTTTTTGGAGACTGAAACAGAATTTTAAGAGGCGCTTTAAAGACTAGAAAACAACAGCCTGGCCACCACTCTTGCTTTAGGTGTAGCTGCAGGGCGGTGACACTGTGGTGTCCACTAGCTCTCCGACAAGCAGTCAGTCAAGAGTGCTCACAAACTATTCTTTTTGGCATTCCATTACTTCATAAGCAAACTTGTAAAATTATGAAATAACCTGCAGTGTTGGTTGTTGCTTGTTGTTATTTGTTTTACCTTTTACTGGTACATGTAAATAAAAAAACCCAAACCCAACCTGTCTGGCTAAGTCAACCCCATCTCCTGCAAAGAGAAGAAATTCAATCTGATTCCAGGAAGCATTCACACCCTCCTCACAGTATCACACAGTCAGTGGCAGCACTGCTTCTCACGAAAGGCAACATGAGGAGAAAAAGATGATTCTAAAGCAAACACAAAGCGAGGGCCACGCCACACCTGGAAGCGTCCTTCCGGTCTATAGTCTTTGCTTCATTGTCACCACGTTAATTTCCATGTATATTTCAGGTTTTTAAAAGGAACTATTTACAGGAATCCAGAATTAAGGTTGCATAGAGAAGTGTACTCGAGGTGGGGGGTGGGGGGAAGGGACGTGGGAACTGTATACTAATGAAGGATTTTTTTTTCTTTTTCTTTCTTTTTTTTTTCTCTTCGGAGGGGGAAGCGAGCTGGTGGGGAGGGGTGGGCAGGGAGAAAATTGCGGCAATGAATGAATGGAAATCCAAAACCTCTGTAAAAAAAAAAATAAAAAATTGAGAAAAAAAAAAAAACCCTGAAAAAAAAGGAACTATTTAAAATCTATTTTCTACTTGTCCTTCTTGTCCTTTCTGCCAAAGAACGCCTGGCCTGGAACCCTCTTTTTGGCTGGCTCTCCTCTGCTGTCAAGAGGAACGAATAAATACGTGCCATGCTCAGGGGAAGGTGGAAGATAAAGGATGGGATCCTCACTTTGACTCCAGCCCAATTCCAACAGCTGAAGCCTCTCTCTTTAGAGAACACAAGATTAAAAATCAAGGGTAAAATGCAGAGTTCCTATGAGTCAGTGTACTCCTTACTTGTAATTATGTGCTATAATCCAAGTAATTTGTGGGAAAAAGAAGACACAACTTAAGAGAGGCTTAGTTCACTGCTGTGGAGGCAGAACTTACTCATAGCTGATGCTCCATTGGGTTTTGAGACTGTCCACCGCCAGGGAGGAGCTTGAACCACCAGGTGGGGGCAGGCGGGGAGCTTAGTACAGCTCTCAACTGGCTCGCCTCAAAACTCAACTCACTGCCACTGAACAGGAACCAGCTCAATGGAGTTGACCTACAGCAAGTTTTCAAAGGCTGTAAACCACAAGAGAAGACACTGCCCATTTTTCTTCTGTGGCGCAGCTGCTGGACTTCAGGCGCCTGCCTCTGGGTTGACAGCCAAACTCCTTACCGCTACGCCATCCGAGATCCCTGCTCTATCGACCAGGCCTCCAGTTATTTTCTGTACCTGCATAAAGTACGTCTGATCTAAGTCAGGATATTTTCAATTGTTTTGTACGCATCTGAAAGTTGGACAATAAACAAGGAAGACCAAAGAGTAATCAATGCTTTCGTATTGTGGTGTTGGCAAAGCGTCTTAAAAATCCTCACATTTCAAATCCAGACAACCTTGGGAGAATTAGCAACTATATTTTTATACAAATAACACACAGTATGTTTGTTGGCCAACTACTCACTCCCGGGAGGTACTTTCATAATAGTGCTGGTTTTTTACAACATGCAAAAACAATCTGGCATGGCACTACTCATGAAAATTCATGGGAAGGACAGTGGAGCGAGGCTGAAAACCAAACACAGAAGGTCCTCCTCGTCATCTGTACAGAGAGGACAATATGGTGCCCTTTTATTAATTTCTGTCCACTCTAATCATACAGCTTTCTTCTTCCACTCCAAGCAGGACCTTCTATTTGCTGACAGCTGAAAGGAGCTAAGGATTTCCTTTATTCTTTGTCTTTGCTACTTCCTGCATTGGGTAATTCACTCCTTCATTCAACAAGCAATTCTTTAGAAGCTGGGTACAAGGCTAAATAGGAGACAGAGTGACAGTACTAACTTTCAAGGAGTCCATCGCACAACATGCATGTGGGTGGGGCTGAGACTGTAGAACAAATAATGCTCTCCCTGCCGGGACGTGTAATTCCGGGACGTGTAATTTAGGTGGGGCAGAAGTCATATCCGGAGAAGCCCTCCCTCATGTGTGGTGGCCTTGGAGCTTTCTGACAGGGGGTTTTCCTGCAGTTTCCAAAAGGTCAGACAGAGACTGTGTCTATTTTAATCACTTCTGTACAACCTAGTACTTTGAACAGTTCCTGCCAGGGGCAGTAATAATGAGTGCGTGGGCTGTGTTTATTTTGTAATTCTAGATGAAAGATGCAGCCTAAGCAAACACACGGAGGGTGGGAAAGTAGAGAGCGTAAGGGGCAGAAATGTCGTAAGAATGGATAGATGAGTGAATGAGGGACTATTTAGATGCTGGGAACAGTCAAAGCACAGATGTTTATTAAGGAGTCATGCCCTAAATGGTGGGTCTGTAAGACTTAGGCTTGATTCAGTGGGTAATAAAGGAATGAGGGGAAGCAGAGAGCTTTAAAATAGGGGCTGTATGGTTTATAAAGTACAGAGGAAGGAAAAGCAGTGAGCAAGCTGAGTAGTCAACTGTAACAGATGAGATTCAGGAACCAAAGTCAAATCAACAGCACGATGATTTTGGATCCTGGCTGTCTGGTGTGTTCCACAGCAGAACTGAGCTCTATTGGGTAGGAATTTTATTTGCTGTAATCTCTTGGAAGTAGAACTCCAGGCCTTTCTCCCAAGGCAGTTCTGGGTGGATTCAAACCAGCAACCTTTCAGTTAGTAGCTGAGAGCTTTACCATTTGTGCCGCGCAAGGATTATAGGAAACGTGATGAGAAAGAATGAACAAGGAACGACGAAAGAAGTCTGGCAGGACTTGCTCCTGGACTGCCTGCCCTCTGGGCAAGACGAGGGCCAGGAATGAGAGGCCCTGGGCCCTTAGGTTGAATTTAAAAAATGGAAATGGGTAGTAACAGTGGAGACAGGGAAAGGGAATCAAGAGTTTTCAAGTAAAAACTTCAGATTTCTTTCCCTAAAAAAAACCCATAAGACTTCTTTCCCTGAAAGTCAGAGGACCTCCCAACAGTGGAGGAACACGTCTGCCAGCAGGGAAAGTACAGGAGCTGAGGTCCGTAGTGGACATGGTCACGACCCTGCAGTTTCTCCCTCGGCCCATCTCACCTCTTACTGTGGTCTGCCTGGACTGTGAACATGAACATCTTAAAATTTGCCAATCAGACCAGAAATTCAAGTGTGTGCAGCCAAAAGAATTGCATCACTCATCAAAACTGGGACATTAAGAAGAGGCGCTGTCTCTGGGAAGATGTTAACCGCTGGTTGAGACATGCGAAGTAGGTCACCAAGGGAAAAGGGATCAGGTTGGATGTAGAGAATGTAGAAACAATAATTGACTAAAATGGGAGTGCTCCTTATTCCTGCTATGTTCTAGCACTTCTAAACAGCATTAATGATAAAGATTCTGCCCAATGGGGTAAAGGGGACTCTTCTACCATCTACTCCCACTATCTGGTCCCCTATTCGTGCCAGTTACATAGTAGCATGCTTGCCACAAACCATGACTAACGGCAAAGATAAGAAAGAAAACGCAGGCCAATCAACAGATGCAGTGATACATACGTGGAAATCCTTCTTCGGTGGTATTCTCTTGGGTTCCCCATTTTTACCCGTGAGTTGCTGACTAACTGAAATGCTGACTTAAAGTTATCCCCAAGGCACAAGGTGTACTTTCGTCTAATGGAATTACTGAAGAGTATGCTGTTTGGTATCTGGGTCCGGTCCACTGAAATGGTCTTACCATTGCTGACGAACAGGTCTACCAGCTGCTCCTTGGAGAAACCAGCATCCACCTCGACTCTCACAATCTCACAGATGAAACCCACAGCCATTTGTCTGTGCTGTGATAAGAGAAACAGAATGATTTTTTTTTTTACATACTCTCAAATTCTCTAAGAAAAAGAGTAAATATGCAAGTAATCAATACCTTCATGCAGAGCGCAAGCTGATAGGCTATGTAGTCTTGCAAGCTTCCTTCTGGGCCATGGAAAATGACATTATGATATTGCTCGACCTATGGACAAACCAAGACGAATTCTTAGGTGAAAATGCCAAGTTAAGATGAAGGAGGGAAGAATGGTGGAATTCCTTTTCCAATTGTATTAAGCCTTTCGAAACAATCTTCAGAACTTGGCACTTTAAGTCTTTCATTGTAATGTCCAAGAGGGGCAAAATACTGTATTTTGAAAGAATGACAGTTTACAGATTCTCTTCCTTGTGTTTTCTGTAGTCAGGTTTAGAAGGTTAGCTGGCAAGCCCAGTTCTCTGTTCTGTCTTTGACTAATGCCCTGTAATTTCCTTTATCAGCCCTTTCAGAAGTTTCTCAAGTTCTTCCTACTTATTTTACTTTTTTTTTTAACTTGTTAAAAGAGTAATGCCTTTCACTAAAATTTTTTTGAAAATATAAAAAAACAAGGAAAATGATACAGAATAAAATATAGATAAAAATAAATTCAGAAGACACACACTAAATAAAATGTTTCTATTCGCATGAACGGTCTTTTATATTGTTGCTGTTGCTCTGTACCATCGAACTGGAACTGACCCATAGCTGACCCTCCAGCTGGTTTTCAGAGGCAGTTCATTGTAAGGGAGGAGATTACCCATCTTTCTCCTGTGGAGTAGCAGGTGGATTTGAACCATATACCTTTGGAATTGCAGTGCTGTTTCTTACCACTAGGCCACCAGAGCTCCCCTGGCATTTTCTATTATCATGTATGTTCATGTGTTTTTTTTTTAAAGAAAAGATGCTGTTTTTATGCACTGCTGAGTTGGAACCGACCTTTCAACAGGTTTTCTGAGGCAGTAAACTGAATAGAAGGTGAATGACTATATTTTTTCCTGTAGAGCAGCTGGTGGATTTGAGCTGCGAGTCTTTGGGTTGGTGGCAAAAGTCCTCACCACATGGATATTATTTTTGTAGCTGTTGTATAGCTTTTGATATCTTAGGGAAAAAAACAACTTGACAGGTATAAAATTCTTGGCATGAATCACAGACATTATTCCATTCCAGAATTCTGAGCTTCAAATACACTGAAATGGAAACTGATCCTACTGACTTTGTAAAATGAAAATTTCTTGCCTGAGCACCTATAGATTTCTTTTACCTTCATTTATCAGGATATTCTGGATAAGAATATGGCGAGATTTAATGTGGTCTTGGAGGAGCAGTCAATTCCCATCCATACAAGACAAAGAGAGTGGTATCTGGAGCCAGAGTACAAGGAGAAAGCCATTCCACTCAGTTCCCTTATTCCCAGGTCAATATGCAGCCCTAAGCCACAGGCTTGGGAGTATTCCCCTAGAAAACCAAAGCCAAACCCACCGCAATTGATTGGATGCCAACTCCTACAGCCCCTCCATTGGGCTTCCACTATGCAAATGTTTATGGGAGAAGACTGTCTATTGTTCTATCATGAAGCAGCTGGTGGGTTTGGAGAGGCTAATGGATATCTCACTTCTCTTCTTTATTGTCTCACATATGACTTTAACTTTCTCACTGCTGTTGGGATCTGCTAGTTACACGAAGGAACCAGCAATGTCTGTCATGCTGTTCAACATGGTATGCAAGTACCTAAACTGCAGCTGAAGCAAGCTCTGGAGCCAGGTGCTCATGGGTACTAAGCACACACAGCGGCACAGCATCCTTCGACCAAGTCCCTCAGTGACTTACTTGCAGCTCTGGTCTCTGAATGGACGTACACAGATGTGCACTGGCATAGGCCTGTCAGTGATGTAGCAAAAGACAGAGCTCATGCAGTAAAATAAGTCACTGAATGAAGCCTTGCTGCCAACCAAAAGGCTACAAGTTCTAATCTACTTAAAGTTGCCTTGGAAGAAAGAACTGATGACCATTTCAAAAAAAAAATAAGTCACTGAAAAACCCCTTCAGAGCACACAGGACACACATGGGCTCCAGTACTTCCTCCAGCTGTAATTTAAGTTGTTCATTTGTCTGCCACGTGGGATTCAAAGGCTAACTTACTCATTGTTTTGCTGTGTGGACTCAGTGGCTATTGTTTTAGGGGCCTAGTGGTAAGAAGTTGCAGTGGCAACCCAAACAGATGTGGTTCGTATCCACCAGCGACTTACTCCACAGGAGAAAGATGGGCAATTTCTTCCTGTACCATTAACTGCCTCTTAACCTGCCGAAGGGTCATCTGTGGGTCAGTTCAGACTCAGCAGCACACACCACCACCACTTTTCTAACTGGAAGAAAACATATTCTTTCTGAATCATCAGGAAGATGGTAAGAAACAGATCAATGAGCTTTCCTACCTAATTCTAAGTGATCATTGAGTAAGTATGTTTAAAGCTCTGCGAACAGTGGAAGTATTTTTCCAGATTCTTGTCAAAAGGAGACTTTGGTCTAATTATCATTATTGTGAGGCTTGAAAGTACTTTTAAACATATTTCAATTTGTTCTTGAAATCAACGTATTCAAATTTTGTAAATAAACTAATAGAAAACAAAAAAGACTAAAGGGATAAAAAAAATAAAATTACTTCAGTGAAAAATTGCGTTAGGTACTTGGTTGTTATGAGGCATCAAGTTGACTGCAACTCCTAAAGACCCTTCTGAACAACAGATCTGAACCCTGCCCTGTCCTGGGCCATCCTCGCCGGCTGTGACCCACCTGAGTCCATTGTTAGATGCTGTGTCAATTCATCTTCTAGAAGCTCTTCCTCTCTTAAACTGATCTTACTCCCTTCCAAACATGCTGTTCTTCTCCAGAGACTGGTCTCTCCTAACGACATGCCCAAAGGAGTTTCACTATCTTTGTACAATTTTAAACCAGGATGCTTGAGCTCTCCAAATTAATCCCAAGTGGTTGCGATTTACTGGGGAGACATTTTCTCACAAGAAATGAATTGTTCCACACCAGTAAAACAGGATGAATGTTTCTGAGATTTACTCTTCCACCCCCTGAGATTTTCAACCAGTATTGCTATTTAAGCTTGTCTCATTTCTGAAAACAACAGTACTCTATTCACCACCGCTATCCTGTCAAGCTGCCTACATACACATTCTTAAGATTGGTTTTGAAATGATGGAGAACAGCAAGGGACCCAGCTTCATAGATAAGCTGTCTTCAGTTTCAACACCTCATTTATTCTCCAAGGGTAGGTTCTCAAGAAGAGACAGGAAGCATTTAATTTAGAATTTCATTGAAAGAGCCATTCACCAGCACTAAGCCCTCTGTGTTTACATCGTCTAATATCTGTTGTGGGATAGATTGCCTATAAATCACTGAGAGAATTAAGATAAACATGCACAGACTTCGAGACAGTTCTTAGCTTCTGATGCATACATTTTATGAGTAGGTTTCTCATATCAGTCATTAACCATTTTTTAATGATATTTTGTTCTTTCCCCCCAAAGGATCTAGCTGCTTTGGTTACTGTTAAAGATCTGAACAACAACAAAAATTTAACTTAAAATGACTTCGAGCTGGTTACTCTACAGACTGCTGTGAACCTGCAAAGCTCTCCTATGAAAACGTTCTGTTCTAGCCTTACCACACTGTTGGTGTTGTTGTGTGCCTTAGAGTGGACACTGACTCATAGCTGACTCTCCAGAAGTAAATCACATGTGAGGAGACTGCCCGTACTCCCATGGAGCAGCTGGAGGATGTGAACCTCTTGCCTTTGGGATTGCAGAGCAGCTTCTTACCACTAGGTCACCAGAGCACCCTATTGTCATATTAGATTCCTACAACTAGTAAGACCTTGAGTATAGTAAGTCTAGAGACTCAACCCCATGCACCTTGCTTCCAGCAGAGGGCTCTCGTGATAGGAGTATAAAAATAAGTATCTACATAGATCACACATGCATCAATGTATTTTACGTATTTACAGACCTACTTGAATGGCTTGAAAGGAGATCCCTGTTCTTTGAAAAAGAAAATGACTATACAGTCTAAAAGGTGAATTCTATTCACTAGAATTATGTCCTGACTTGGGTCTGCAGCACATCACTTGTGTTACTCTAAGGAAGGAGACTTGCCCTCATTATTACCATTGGAACCAATCCCTTTTATTCTTGTGTTTTCAGTCTATTCAGAAAGTTCATCACATGTCAGTTAGTCCTTCGTAAAGCAAATGGTTCAGGATTAAATGGAAACAAGTGACGTCATCAATGGATCACCCAGTCCTTTATAGTTATTTGTTTCCTTCTCAGCATTTTTCTGCTGAATATGGTTTCCTAAAGAACTTAGGTGTCTACTATTTCCCATGCGTCTTTAGAACCGTGGCATTTTAAAATAACAAACACCCAGTTGAGTGAGTCTGGGTTGTTTTCCCTCCTAAAGTCAAAAAATGTCTCTGCCTCTACTCTCCAGGGACAGTTTAGACCAGAATATAACAAAAAAAAAAAAAAAAAGGTGACTAGTATATAGCATAAAGTAGTGGGCTTTCTGGGTAGGAATTTCATTCCAACTTCTGGCAGTCAGTTTTTAAAAAGTTATTACTAGAGAGTCAGAGATACTATATTGTTGTTGATTGCCTTCAAGTCGAGTATGACTCAAAGTGACCCTATGAACAAAAGGTCTGAAGGCCCTCTACAACCATCGACACTTATAAAAGTTCACAGAGTTTCTGGAGGCATGTTGTTTAAGAACTAGATGCCACTCTTGTTTCCAACTATTTAAAATTTCATTAGTGTTGCCCACTCCCCAATAAAACAAAAGAAATGTTTTTAGGGGAAATACAAAGAGGGATCAAAGAAAAGAGAGTATGTTTTCAGAGGCATTTCTTTCAAAGGGAAGAAATTCAAGTATCCCTTTTTACTTGGTAATATTCAAAGCCATGAGCTATAACAGAAATGCCAGTAAGTAAATTTATACCAACAATAAAGCATTTTTACTGAGTGTAAAAGAGACAAACAAAAGGGTGGCTTACATAGTGACTGTCAATTTAGTCAAATAAAATCTCTCCAAACAGAACCGGCACATCAAACAGACAGGACACAAAAAACCCTCCAAACCTGGAGCAAAAAAGCCCCAACCCATCCACAGAGAACTCTTCCTTATAGAATACATATAAGAGAACAATAGAAACTCAAGAGAAATTAAAGTATGGGTACATGCACGTGTATGTATGCATTATGGATGTGCTATTGCTGCTGGCATCAGACAGTAGATTTTCAATATGTAACAACCCCATATGACAGAGTAGAACCATCCCACAGGGGTGACCACTGTGCATTCTCTATAGGACTGGCTTACCAGGTCTTTCTCTGAAAGAGCCAGATGCCAGTCATGGTTACTAACTTCAAGTGAAAACAAAATGGAAAAACCGCTGTCACAATCATCCAATGGATTCCAACCCACAGAGATCCCAGAGAAGAGAGTAGGGACTGCCTGCGCCCCCAAGGGTTTCCAAGGCTGGAAATCGCTACTCTGAGGCTAAAGCAGCCTGCCTCACCTCTCTCCTACAGCACGGCTGGTGGGTCTTGGGGTTAGGAGCCACCAGGACACCTCTTAAAGTAATGACAGGCCCTCATCTAGTGACACAGACATAATAATTCAGCTATTACAGTATAAAACAATAGAGGTATAAGATATAACTTTAGCCGATAACCTTGCTTCCTGTCAGCTGCCACCTATGACTGACAGACTACTCTTCCTGCTCTAGACCTCTGCCCAGAATCTTCCTGCACACAGGCAACTGCAACGGAAGCCAAAGAAGCCCAGGAAGCCTGTGTTTTGCTTGTGTTGGAACCACTCTTCCTCACACCAGAAACTCCTTCCTTCCTTCTTCCTTCCCTCCCTCCCTCCCTTCCTTCCTTCCTTCCCTCCCTCCCTGAGGGTCTTATCTAGCCTTGATCCTTTCATTCTGTGAAAGTGAAAAAAAAAAAGTTTTTAACACCCTTGGCTTCTAAAAGTTGGGACATTCAAGACCACCCAGAGGTGCCTTGAATGAAAGGAAAGGCCTAGCAATTTCTTTCTGAAAAATCTCCCCCTGACCACCTCAAGAGGATGGCTCTGCTCTGACACATGTCTGGTCACCACCAGGCGGAACTGATTTGATGGCACACTGGGACCCAGTGCCTTCCGACTGGAATAAAATTCAAGGTCCTGTCTTAGCTGACAAGGTTCTAAATAGTCTTGTTTAGTTTTTGGTCATTTCTCAACCTGTCAGTTCAGCAATCTTTGAACTCACTGCTCCCTCTGCCTCCAATACCTTCTAAGGATGCCTCCTTCATTTTACTGGATTTTCTGTTCTCAGAGAGGTCTTTCCTAACCACTCCATCTAAAGTAAGCTTATTCCACATCCCTGCCCAGTCATTCTTTATCCTCCTGTCGGTGTTCTTTTCTCCCCTTTATACTGACCCGTACATTACCGGTCCTCTGGAGAGGAAAATGATGCGGGGAAGGGTGGAGCATCAGTGAAGGAGAGGAAGACCCTCTACCAGGTGGATCGATACGGTGACTGCCACCGTGGGCTCCAGTGTGTCAGGAAGTGTGAGGATGGCACAGGGTATGACAGGGGTCAGCTCTGTTGTTCACTGGGTCACTATGAGTTGTACTCAACTCGCCGGCACCTAACAACAACAGTCTTGGCGGCATAGTGGCTGAGTATGGAAAGGTCTGTAGTTTAATTCCAAGAGGTGATTTCACAGGAGAAAAGACCTGGCAATCCGCTTCAATAAGGATTACAGCCTAGAAAACCACATAAGACAGCTCTTCTCTGCCATGTAGGTTTGCTGAATCGGAAACGACTTCATGGCACAAAATACAAGACACAGTGGAGTGTTAGTGGCAGCTTTATTAACCGCTGAGTTGCTAACCACAATGTTGGAAGTTCGAACCCATCAGCGCATCAATAAGAAGACTTGGCAATCTGCTTCTGTAAAAATGAAAATCCTACTCTGTCTTGTAAGGTCAGAATTAACAACTACAGCAGACTACACATAAAGAGACCTAGTGGCACGCAGAGTGAAGTGATTGGCTGCTACCGTAAAGACTGATGGTGTGGACCCTCCCAGCTGCTTGAGCAGAGAAAGATCTGGTAACCTGCTTCTGTGGAGCTACGGTCAAGAAGACTCGCCAGGGGCATTCTCGGTCACAAGGGATCACTTGAAGTCTGAATTAACTGCATCTAGCAAGCAACAGCACTAAATGTATATTTTATTCATGAGCTTTTTTTGCTTTGTTCCACTAGCTTCAAGAGGACATTTAGGAAGCTCTCAATAAAGAGCTGTCCAACAACTGAACAGAGAATTAAGCAGGATACAAAAATGTGTAATACGTGACCTGTCTCCTCAAAGGGCTTGTAGAGGTTGAAGGGTTTTACGGGAGGAAAACAATTGTATACAATTCTCATGAGCCATCACTGCCTCTGCCCCTTTCAATTTTGAATTGCCTGCCAAAATTAGTGATAAGTTATCATCATCCAAAGGTTCATTTTGGGGTTTAATGAGAGCGTAACGTACTTTCATGTAATTGAGAATCGAACTAAAATATGGTGAATTTAACCACTGGCAGTTAAATCTATATCTAAGGAACCACACATACAGGTGTAACTTCAGTATTCTACATGCAATGCGGCTAGTGCATTCATTTTGAAGATCTGCTTCTTTTTGTTATCGTTATAATTCAAGGTCATTGCTGTGCCACTGATTTTAGCAGCTGCACAAATGAATGGAAAGCCGTGGGCCATGAGTCTAAAACCTGGCCTCTTCAAAGAAACTGAGAAAGGAGAAAGGAGAGAAGTAAGTAGCTATGCCAGGTGGTTCAACTTGGTGCCTGGGGCTCACCCTTCAGAGAACCAGTTGGTTAGACTCTTCAAACTTCACTGAAGCTCAGGACAGAGCTAGATCTGCTTCCCTTTCAAATTTAACCCTTCGACTCCCTTTGGTGCTTTGGGAAGAACGGAGCAGACAGCAGAGGTAAGAAACTGAAGACATTAGATTGAGGACTCTCCCAAATTCCACGGCCCTTGAATGTTGACATAGTACCTACTGTGACTGCTGCAAAAATCAGCTCCAACTATGCAACTCGCTCAATATCAATGCAGTGGTTTTGAATACTTCTCTTCATCAGACAGAAAACAAAGGCATCAATTCAGAGATTCTGGAAAAATCTTTGTAAAGGGTCTTAGTCTAACTCACTGATTTTTTTAAAAAAAAGACTTCACAAACTAAGGTAAAGAGTATAGTGTTTACATGATAGTTCTGCACCAGCAGTAGTGACTTTAAATTCACACAGAGTATATATAATATCAGGAACAAACAAAATCCTGACTTCATCATTCACTATCTGTACGGCCTTGAGCAAGTTATGGGACCTCTCTGCTTCCATTCCCCTAACTATAATATATACCTTACAGAGATCTTTATTTTTGCTCATGCAGATGTTTTATTGTTGTTTTAAGGCACTTCAAGTGGCTATGACTCACAGCAACCCTATGAACAACAGATCTGAACCCTGTCCTAGCATGTGCCATTCACACAATTTCTCACACACTTGAGCCCATAACTACTTTGCCATGATAAAAAAGTGCTCTTCTTCCTTTTAGTAACAGAAACATTAACTTTAACCAGACATATGGCTATCCAGGAAATATCAACTCTACCTGGCCTTGGCTCTGACATGTATCTTCATCTTGTGGGCAGAAGTGATGTGTGCAAGTTCCCTAAAGGCCTACAGGGTCTCTCCGCTCAGTCTAGGATGGAATGGTTATAGGGATGGTTGTGGGGATGGTCTTTGACGAAGCTGGAAGAACTACATTTAGAGACAGGACAGCCACAGACACGGGAGCAGTCAGCTGCCCTTCCTGATTCCTGGGCCTCTTACCCACTGAAACTTCTCTGTGTTAGAGAAATAAACGTCTACCTTTGACTCTATTATTGTTAGGTTCCAATTAAAGTGACCAAATCAATGGTCTAACTAATGCCACCAAGTTTATTTCCTTTTCTATACTGTATATTGACAGCACTGTGTCTTGACATGAAAAGCCATTCTCTTCCAGTTGATCATGTATTTGATGTTAACTAAACATCTTGGTTCTTGGAAAACAACTTCCCAACTTCCTCCTGTTCAGTTGATGACTTGATAACATGTATTTACAATGTGGAAAATATAAGATTCCGCTCAGCAGTGGGGACCTACCAGTCTGAGGTAGTTCTGCAGCATCGGAAGAGGGATCATAGATGCATAAGTCACACTACTGAGGCAGCCTTCCTGAGGGCCTACAGGAAATGAACACACACAGAGAAAATAAATTACTCCTTGCTAAAGGCAAATTTTCAAAGCCTAACAATATCTATCATAAAAGATGCAATATGTCTGCTAATCTAGTGTAGGCAGGGCTGACATCTGGCCAGGACGTACTGTGAACCTTTACCGCTGTGAAACCTGAAATGCTTTCTATCATTTGGTAAAAATAAAAATGAGCTGCTGTGCTGTGTGTCCTGTAGAGTCATAACCGACCCAATGCTGATCTTCCAGTGGGTTTTCAGAGGCAGTTAGTCACACAGGAGGAGAATGCTGGTGGTCTTGAACTGTGTGCCTTTGCAATTGCAGTGCAGTTTCTTGGCACTAGGCCCCAGAGTTCCCTAAACACACACAAGAGGAAATCACTGCTCCTGGCCCCATGAGAGTTCACCAGCTCCCCTTCTTCTCTGGAAGAAAGTCCATCAGGCTCAGCCAGGGGCCTCCAGCTCCTGGCTCCGGCACCACAGCTCATATCTACTTGGATTGCCGGCTACTTCATCCTGGATAGTCCTAGTTAATCCCAGTCTCACTGGAGCAGGATTACTGTGCAGGTCTGGATTACCCTCTAGGCATCCTGTTTCCTTACCATCAAGTTCTGCCACTGTCTCAGTATATCACTTAAAACCTGAAGGAAGATTTTATGCTTTTTAAAAGACTTCAGTAAGATAGTTCAAACAATAAAATAAGACTAAAACGATATTGGTTGAGACTGAATAAATAGACATGAAAATTAGGAGCCTTTCAGAATTAAGGGCAAAGAAGGTGAGAATTCCTATTCCACTTACTAGCGGTATAGTCTCAGACAAGAGAATGAATCTGAGCCTCCAATTCCTGTCTAGCACATGAGGACAAACAGAGGTATAAATCTCACTGGGTTGTAAGGAGGACTACCTTCTCTTTTTATTTTTTATTTATTGTAAGATGTAATTAACAACAACGAAACTCAGCTAAATTCACTGTCTTCAAGTCGATTCTGGCACAATCAGGTTTTCAAGATTGTTGATGCAACTGCCCACGTTTTCTCCGTGGACCTAGTGGTGAATTTGAACCACCAGACAGACATGGAGAATGCTAGAGAGCAAAGCAACCACTGTGGACTACGCCAGGCCCTAGCAAATAGGATAATGTTCACGCCACCCTGTCCGATCACAATAGTCACATACACACTTGACAGTAACTAAAGAAACTTCTTCCATATTCTGCCTCTGTCACTCTCTTATCGGTATGTCAGCGTGGCCTGAGTGATGCAATCAAAATCACAGCAGACAGACACTGCTGAGGGCACAACCAGGTTTATGTAACTGTTGTCACTGAACGGTGCGTGCTGAATTGGCAAATGTTGTTTTACGTATAATCCTTGTACACATACACATGTACAAGTGTGACTGACACAGGTGTCAAGAAATATATGCTTTTAACCTTTTCTGCCTTAATCAAATGTCTTAGAAACTGACCCCTACTAGTAAAGAGAAAAGGTCAAGTGCATGGCAAGGAGGTCCCAGACCTAACAACCCTCACAGATTTAAAAGCTGGTACTGGGAAGCCATGGTGTAGCACACACCCCTGAAACGTCACCTCAGGTTGTAACGTCCTTACCTGACAGAAGCACCGTGATCTGCTCAGTCTTATTCTTCCTCATAAAGTCCCATGGGGACTGGGCGAAGCTCTGACCAGCTGACCACGGCACATTTCCTGTTCCAAAACAGAAAGAGAAGGGCAAGAAAAATTTTAAATATTTTTTTTTATCATAAGGTAACGTGATTTCCTTCATAGAAGGAAAATTTTCAGGTTCACAGGTTCCAGAAAAACCAGACAGCTTCAGGTGCTCAGAAGCAGGTGAGCCTTCTCATAATATGGGAGCTCTGGTGGCCTAGTGGTTGGTAGCAATAGGAAAGGCACGAGGTTCGAATCTCCCAGTTGTTCCATGGGAGAAGGAGGGGCAACCTCCTCTGTGATAGGCCTTTGGATTACTCTTGCTCAAAACAAGAGTTTCACTTCAGAGATGTCTTCTCCAGGGTGTTGCTGGCAGAATTAACACAAAGCTAATTCTGATTCCTTGCAACTCCATGTGATAGAGCACAATGGCCGTCAACTAGGAAGGTAGATTGGAAGGTAGTCTTCCTCCTGGTGAATCATGGGGTGGGTTTCACGTGTCGACCTCCTGGTCAGCAGCCAAGTGCTGGACCTCTGCACCACCAGCTCTCCTTCCTTTTCTCCAACGAAAAAAAACCTCAAACTCATTGCCCATTAGTTAGAACTGACTCACAGCTCCATGAGGGCGCCAAGACTGTGACTTGCACAGGAGAAGACTGAGTCCTTACGTCCTCAAAGCCACTAGAGGATTTGAACTGCCAGGGAGGTATGGCCTTTGCGTCAGCAGCACGACTCTCTAGGTCATCAGAGCTCCTTTGTTTCTAGGGAGAGATTAGTAAATACTATGTGTTTGGCCTCTTCTCTAGATCAGTTCATTAAATCCCTATTGTCACCAGGCCCCCCCGCCCATAACACACGTCTACTCCTTTAACTCTCTGCTTACCTGCTGGCCTAAGGTTCTTTTAATCAGGTTAGGCTATCACGCTAAAATCACATATATGCATCCATTAAAAATAATACTACTCTAGCCCACTCTGCTCATGTCGACTCACATTCTCAAAGACCTTCTAGGATGACTTACATTCTCAAAAACCTTCTAGGACAGAGAAGAATTCTTCCATTAGAGTTCCAAGGCTTTACAGTTATTTCTTTTTTTTAATTTAATTTTTAATTTTTTTTTTATGTACCATCAACTTGGATCTGACTGGTACAGGAGGAGATTGTCCATCCTTCTCTAGCAGAAGCATCTGGTGGATTTGAACCATGTACCTCTGGGATTGCAGTGCAGCTTCTTGCCACTAGGCCACCAGAACTCGCTGGCTTTACATTTCTACAGGAACAGAATGCTTCATTTTTCACCCATTGCACACTTAGTGGGTCTGAACCTCTGACCTTTCAGTAAGCAGCCCAACTCTTTACCCACTGCACCTCCGGAGTTCTTATTGCTACTCCAATCAGGAAACTAAGTCCTTTGCCCCTAAAACAATATCTTTTAGAAGAGAAATATTATTAGGTTTCATTGTAAAGTGGTATAGCTTTACATTTTGGGACCAATCAAGCCTTTGCACTCATTACTTTTAAGGGTAAATGTGTTCAGTGGTGAATAGTCACTCGCCTTTTCCAGTCTCTATTTAACAAGGTGAGGGCTGAAGCCCGCCATTGTGCTGGCTAGTGTAAGAGAGCTCTGAACAGGATCACACCACAGACCACACTTGGCTGTGTGGGCAAAAGGTTTCCTGAGAACCACTCCGGGTTTATTTTTCTAAATGCACCTACTTAACTCTGTTAATAATGCTTCTATAAAATAATCTTCATGACCTACTAAAGATCCATCAAACTAACTTGTCTTTTTTTTTTCTGCTTTCAAATGATGTGATATTATCCCATGTGACTAACCAGAATAGAACACTTTCATCTGTAACAAGCTGCTATATTAACAGCATGGTAACAACCTGCCCTTTCTCCACTCTGGCAATTCTTTTGCAACAAGGTGCACTTGAAGGTGCACTTGAAAGTGCACAGGCATTTCTATCAGAGAGCCTGTGGTCTGAATGCCGGCTGCTCTGCTCATTAGCTGTGAACCTCAGGCAAAGCACCTTGCAACCTGCCCGGTTAACTGTACAATGAGGCTGTTGTGAGGACTCACTGAGCTGTCATTGATGGAGTGCCCACCACAGTCCTGGCGTAGATAGAGGGATCGTGCAGATGTTAGTTTTTGTGGTGCAGGAAGGAAGAACCCAATCAGGGACAAACTAACAATTATACAGCACTGACGCTGCTTAACCCAAAGCAACCGTAATCTTTAGGGTCTGTTTCCCGGTATCCCCTCAACAAAAATAACCAGCAGCCACCACGGTGCATGTTGTGACTGTGCCTTCACAGACACGTTTCTTCCAACTCTAGACAAGAGCGCCTGGCCTACAAGTGAGGTGTCAATGACCTCAGCACTCTGCCTAACCCAAGCACCAATCCCGCGCTGTGCTCTGAACGGGTGTGTCAGAGAGCAGCTGTGATGCGGCTTGTCTCTAGCATTTATCTAGAACAACGAGCACAATCACAAAGCCTCATCAAGGGCTTTCATGTTCTTTACTCTCTGCATATTATCTGAGGCATAAAAAGCATTATGATACCAACAAGGAACATTATGTAATGGTTGCTCTGCGAAGACTCAAGTGTTTTAGTCCAAGCAGCTGCCACAAGCAGGCTCTGAATGTGCTTAATCAATGATCTAAGTATCGTGTTATGGAGCCCAAAAGCATAAATAAACCCAGAATTTGAACTGTTTTCGTTGCAGGACTGCTGATACCTAGCATGATGGATAGCACGCTGCTTGAACTGAGGCCGATGCTGGGTTCGGTGGCGTTATTAAATGTCACATCTTCCAGACTCCACCATCCATCAGAAGAGATTGCTTGGAAATGATTTGTCAGAGCTTGACTCAAGGCTTTTGAAAAATCATCCCATGATGTCTGTTTGCGGATATTTAAAGCACAGGTTGTGTTTGTGCATTCAAAATCTTCAGATCCACAGCCGCCTTGATGGGTCTCACCCACTGAAATCCTTAAGGGTATTTTAAGAGCATCTGTTGAATGAATAAAAGAGAATTAGAAGTTTAAGAAGAACCAAAAAAAGATGAACACCCTGGTAGAAAGACAACAGACAACGAGACCATTATAAAGAGTAAATGGAAAGGAACATTTTGAAAACAGAACCAAGCACAGTGATCTTGTTTTGTGAAATAACAAATTAAATGTTTTTGTTCTGGAGTAAATTTTGGTCTTTTAAACCTTTCCCAGTGTCTTTGCTGCCATGCTGCATGTACTAATTTTCTTTCTCTGGGTCTTTTAGCCTTTTCAACTTTGCTGACTCTCTCCCTTCAGCAAGAATTTCAAGGTATTATTTTTTTTTTTAATGGAGAAAACTAAAGAGCTTCCCTTGACCTTGAGTTGCCTATGTTTCCACTCTCTTTCACCTTCATATACAATGAAGTGAAGCAATGTGGAGTTAAGTAGGTTTGTACACTGAACACAGTGGCCTTAGAATCATACACGATTGAGCCTGAGGTCAGCCTGACACTGTGCTGTGTTGCTGAAGTCACATGTAAATTGTCTTAATCTCTCTCTACTTCAATGTCTTCTGTAAAACAGAGGGAACATGAACCAAGTTGTCATAGCAAGCGAGTGAACCTCTGTTTGTAATGGATTTAGCACTCTAGTCCATGGCAAGTACAGTGGTGATGAGGTGTGGTTGACTGACTCACTGTGACCCCATGTCATGGAGAATAACTGTGTCCTAGTCTTTTTGTGGTTGTAATCTTTAGAATAGCAGGTGGCCTGGGTTTTCTCCCTCAGAGCCACTCGCTAGATTCAAACTGCTAACCTTTAGGCTAGTAGTTGAGTGCTTAGTGGTTGTGCTACATGGCTCTTTACACGGCAGGTAACAGTATGTACTTGATGCATGGAAATGACCTCCACTCTCCCTCTGTGACTGTGACACTGCACCGTAGAAGCGCCCAACCAAGCACTTGTGTTCTCTTACATAAATTAGAGGCTTACCAAGAGTCACTTGTGTTTGCCTCTCTCCCTGTTATAGCTACTGAACTAACTAATTAAAATTAAATAGCCCTCAAAATAATGAAACACAGATGTCATTCTTATAAAAACTAAGTTTAATAGAGACAATTTGAAAAGTGTTGCTAAGTCTTCTGATGAGTTATAAATGAGAGAGCTATCTGAAATAGGAAAAAATTTCATAAATCTGGCCAACAACTCTCTTTCATTTGCTTCCCAAAATGCATTTGCATGCTTAAAACACTAGAAATCCTAGATGATGGATTAACACCCAAAGTCACTTGCTGTCGAGTGGGTTCTGGCTGAGAACGTATCTACAGGGCAGAGCAGACCTGCCTCCTCGCATCTCCAAGGCTATGAATCATTGTGGACACTGGCTGCCACATCTTTCTCCTGTGCAGTGGCTGGAAGATTTGAACTACCACCCTTTCAGTTAGAGATAAGCCCTTAACCACTGTGCCACTCTGCCTCCTGATGTTGCATCAAAGGTCTGCTTTATTTTTAAAAAGAACATGGAGCTTCAATCAGGACAATATAAAGAAAAGACCTTCCCTTGAATACACATGAAATTTTTAACTTTTTTAAATTAAAAGTCAACATGTATGTTACACACTTACGATCTTCTTCTTAAAATGACTTGTGCAATTAACTGACTGATTACTGGGGCTATTTTATATCTGGTTCTCAGTCCTCCTTTTCCCTCAATGGTATCTGACACAACTGTTCTCTCTCTCTCCCTGATAGACTTCCGGGTCATCACATTTTCCAGCACTTCACTGGTTGCTCTTTAAAGCGATTCTTTTTTAGGCCCGTACACTTTCCCGAAACTCCTTGGTGGTAGAATGTGTTGTGGCTCATTTCTCTTGTGACCTCATGTTGTCTCATGACTGGAGATATAATCTAGAGACAATGGCGCCTACAGTTACATATCTAGCTCCTGAATTCCTGAGGACTTGGCATCTCCACCTAGATATCATAACAGCCTCCTCAAATTCAGACATTCAAACAGAAGTCTCAATTTTACTCAGCAAAATCTGCTTACCCTTCACTCTGGCGGCTTGATGGAGGCTCTAGGCTGGCAATTACTCAGGTTGGACCCTGAGAGTTGTGAATCCCTCGTCCCTCGTGACTGACATTCAATCCACGAGGCGTCCTGCTGACTCTCCACCTACAGCTGATGCACAACTCAGCCCCCTGTCACTGTCCTCACTGCCACAAGCCTGGTCTGAGCCAGCGTGATTATCTTTCACTGGGAACTAATGATAATACCTGACAGCTATTCTTTCTTATTATACTGGGACTATTCTCTCCTATTATACTGAATTTTTTTCCCTCTGTTATTTACAAACACAACTAAAATTGATATATTATGTAGAAGATTAAAGCATTTCAACTTTTAAAACTGTGTATGAAACATAATGTGAATGAAGGAATGTGTGGAAAAACAACATATATGAATGAAAAAGAACTTGGAAAAAAGTAACAAAGTAAAATTCTAGAAATCTGCTTATCTTAAATTACTGATACAGTGAGAGAACTGGGTGATCATCATACGGGTATAAGCTGGCATGCCATATGCATAATCCAGAAAGAAACTTTTCATAATGTGTGCCAAGGAGCATAAACTCTTGAAGCTGGAAGGAACTCAGTTAACTTTATAAACAGGTAGACAGCCAGGCTCGGAAAGGCCTGATGTGCCAGGGTCTATAACATCAGCAGGTGGCAGAGTACTCAGCCCTGATTGTTCACACCCTAGTAGTGTCATGTCTATAATGACAAACTAAGTCATAAGGAAAGAGTAAGAATTATTTAAAACACAAGAAAAATCTAGCATTATCTGAATATCAACTACTCCTACAAAGAGAGGTGCTGGGGATGCAAACAGTTCATGTGCTTAGCTGCTGATGGAAAGGTCACAGGTTCAAATTCACTCAACGGGAGCTTGAACAAAGGCTTAGAGATCTGCTTTCAAAAGCCAACCATTAAAAACCTTCTTACAGAGCACAGTTCTATTCTGACACCTTCAAGGTCACGGTGAGCTGCAACTGACTTGATGATAATTGGTGTTAGTGGTGTAATTCTACAAAAAAAAAAACAACTATTCTCTGTGGAACAGGAAATAATTACCACAATTATAATCAATAAAGTGGTTTTGTAACAGTGCAGGCTCCAAGGAGATCACGGGACTAATGAGAAAGCTGCCGTGCATCCTATTCTTTTCACTGGCCCGGAGGAAGCTGGAGCGGCCACTCACTCAGGTTTTCTAGGAGATGCTTGCAGTCGTCGGTGGCAACGTCGTGGACAGTCCGGCTGCACTTATCTCTCCTCTCAGGTTCCAGCCCTCTGTGCTGACACAAGATTTCTAGGCAGTTCTGTAAAGACAACAACTCTGTCATCTCCAGCTCCAAATGAACCAACCAGAGCAGAACACCGAGGAGAAAAGCTAGTCATCGGTAGCAAGCCAACCAGTAACTTTAGGCTAGGACTTTTATTTCCATTCCAGCCCTCCCAACGTGCAAACTAATATAAACAACGTCGAGCCTTGACAACCAAAGAACACTTCACTTAAATGCAAGTCATAAGATCAAAATATTACTCCACAGAACTGTCTCTTCGGGGTGTTTTGTTGTTTTTTTTTTTTAATGTTAGCTTACTAATTACTCATTTTGCCAAGGGAAATTAAGAAAGAAATTGGCTCCAGCATACAATACCCTTTTATGGTCACTTGGCAATGTAAACCCAAGTCTTTGGCTACAACAGGATGGATCTTGCTGCTTTCTAGATTATAGCCATGAACTGCCTTCTACTAGGTTAAATGCCAGACTCCATTTAACAATTATGTCCCAGAGTCCTCTTAAGAAAATTTATATTTTGATTATATGCTGTGCTATTTTCTTTATTTAAAAAGTAGAAACACTACACTAATTGTGTTTTTAGAAAAAAAATCATCCCCAATAGAAGCTGAAAATTGTGTTTCTTTTTTCCCCTCCAACTTTCTCTCTTTCTGTATTGCTAATGGAGGTTTCCATTCAAAATGTATCACCTAAGAGCTAAAAGTTTTTGTTCTCCAGATATTTTTCAAATACAAAGGAGGAGACAATATAAAATGCATACACTTTTCTAAACAATATTCCATCAGGATATTTAGCAAGGAACTCTGCTATATCAAGTTTCACTTCACAGTTTATTCATTTGGCACAAGAGTAAGCATAAAACTCATCAGATCAGAAACAGTGCAAAGGAATGAGTAACAGAAACAAGGTCCTTATACATACATACATACACATATGCCCGCTCGTATGTTCATTATTTTCTAATGACATAATAAACCAGGCAGCCTGAGAAGTCTTCCTTCTATTCTTGCTATAAAATATCCCAAAGCTGCATAATGTTCAAAATCACACTTTTCTTTTTTAATGCAAATATTTTTACTGAGGTGTGGTTAGGTCGAGTCCATCGTGACCCTATGAATAGCAGACCTGAACCCTGCCCTATCCTGTCCCAACCTCACACTTCTTGGCACATTACAGCCACTGCAGCAGTCACCATGTCAATCTACCTGGTCGAAGGTCTTCCTCTCCTTCGCCAGCCCTCCACCCTCCCCAGCATCCTCCCTCTCCAAGGACTAGCCCCTCTCAGCAATACGCCTGTAGTATGTGAGGCAAAGCCTCATCATCTTTGCCTCCAACGAGCACTCCAACTGCACTCTCTCCAAGACCTATTTGCAGAGGTGTCTCTGCATATATGTGTATATGAAAGTTCACAGTATGTGTACACCTGAAGAAAAGGGGACACAATGTGTACGCACCACCCCAACGGTCTTTGTTTTTCCATCTCTATCATTACCCCTCCCTTCTGTCCTTAGAGGTAACCACTGTTCCAATATCTAATACTAGAAGTTGGTTTAGCCCATTTTTAAACTTTATACAAGGCATTTATATTACTACACAAATGAAAGCAAATTGCAAGTATTTATGTTTGACTTCTCTCATTCAATGAAGTCTGTAAGTCAACCGTATGGTGGGAGTAGACACAGTCCCTCCTTTATTTATGTGTGTGTGTGTGTTTGTGTGCTTTTCTTTTATTTATTTATTTTTAAAACATTTCAATGAACATCTACAGAGATTTTGGAATTCCATTCATTCATTGTTGCACTTCTCCCCGCCCCCCCACCCCCACTCACTCCTCTCCTTGAAAAGCAAAAGAAAAACTTCTTCATTGGTACACAATCCCCGCCCCCGCACACTCCCCAGCCCCACCTCCACCCCAAATATAATCCACTCTGCAACCCTCATTCTGTACTCTTATGATAAACATAATGCCCTAATATATAATACTTTTGAACTATTCTCTCCCTCACAGACTTCAATGCAGTAAACATAATTTATCCAGTTTTTCTCAGTCTTACCCCCACCCTGATGTCAGCCTCATTCTACAACCGTGACAGTCCCTCCTTTTAAAAAAATTCCTCTGTGGTATATTCCATTATGGTCACACCATGATCTACCCATTCTGTTGATGTTCATTTGGGTTCTATTATAAACATTCTAGACACATCCTTTGATGAACACGTCTCTGCATGTGTGTTGGGTATGGACACCATATTTGTCTGCATGTCTGTTGGATATGGATTCCATAACTGGACTGTGGTATCACAAAGTACATAGACATTTTATGTTTATAAACCATGAAAAGAGTTTACTTAAGTGGTTACACCAATTTCCATTCCCATCAGCAGCATCTAAACCTTAGCTACTTCATCTTGCTCCCCCCAAAACAGACTTTCAGGCTCAATAATGAGTTCCTAAGAAAGTGCTTAAAGGATTAGAAAGAAAAACCAAAAGCAAGCTGAAACCATCAATTTAGTGAACCTGGAACCAGGGAGCCAGTGCTGGTCTGCAAGCAAAGAGGATAGGGAGAAGCTAGTGCTTGGGGAATTAATGGATGCTGGGGGTGGGGGGAAAGGGGGTGGGGAAGAAAGAGAAACTGACTGGGCCTCGGATTCCCCAAAATGGGAGCGCTGAATCAAATCTGTGACTAAAATGAGAGCAAAGCTAGGGCAATCTGCCCACCTCTAAAAAGATTCAGGAGGACCTCTGTTTCTTACAGAAACTGAAAACTGTATCAAAGTTGGCTTCCATGGGCCTGACGTTCAGGGGTAAGAAATCACTACTCTAAAGTGCAAATTGAAAACCATGCCAAATAAATAACTATTTTTCAAGAAGCTGTTACAACTAATTTATTTAAAGCCAGTAAATGAATGAAAAACAGTTAATGAGAAACTCAATGTTGACTTAGAATATAATTCTAAGAAGAGAAAGAAATCAAATGCAGTGAAACAGAGGAGATAAACTGGTGAATTCCCAAAACAATGGGAGCTGAAAATCACACAACTATGCAGCAGGCAAAACTGGGGAACAGCCACGTAAACTTAAATTCTAATTCTGAGGATACATATTTCCTTTTTTTTTAATGCTTCATGAAAATATTTTATTGGCCTTTTGTATAGAAAATGTGAATTTATTTGCCAGGAAGGATGATCCAATCGTACTTCTGGTGGAACCAGCGCATGGCCACCTCTTTGCTGATTCTGTGTTGGCCCTGATGCAGCCTGTCCTGCGCTTCTTGTCTGTGGTGCTGAAACCTGGCCTACCCCGCACCACAGAGGAGTCCAGACTGTAAAAACCAATGCTGGAGTCATATCTGATGCCCACACCAATGTGCTCCTGGATCCCAAAACCAAAGTTTCCAGTATTTGAGAAGCCATTTTTTCTTGACTCGTATTTCCATACCTTCAGACTTTTCTCCAAGATTTCCTCCACCTTGGCCCCTCTGACTGTGCAGTGGACAATTTTTTTCATTTCCCCTATGTCAAAAGATTTGACAGTGTATCTTGCTTTGGAGAACATGGGAGTCTGGCCTGTGAGCTGCTCCAACACCAGGGCTGCCTGGGTCTGTCTGTCTCCACTGTTGCCTACAGATATTGAGGCAGAGCTTGCAGATGCGAAGCTCTCACATGACGTTCTCTTTTTTGCCTTAATCCTGCGCCTTGATGGAGAACAGGAAGGAAGCTGGATACAAATTCTTATATGACCTTTGGTAGATCACACAACATTTTTTCTTCTTCAGTATCCATATAGGGTTGTTATATAACTTACAGGAATATATGCATTTGAAGTTTTTTTCTTGGCATACACTAAACGCTCAATATTTATTAGCTGCTGTAATTACTGTAATCAACAACATTAGTATCAATTAGAAAATAACCCAAATATTCAGTTAAGTGGGGAGTTATTACAGCTGCACACTAGTCTCAAGACAATTCTAGTTGATGTTACGTTAAAGTGTAAGTAAAATTGATGAAAGGCACAACGGACAGCTGCCATCCTGTTGAATTAAGATTAATTTCTCACCTGCAAAGTAGTTACATGTAATTCTTATTACACTGAGGTGGGTCAGTGGGTAATATCATGAGCAGTGACTTTCTCACTAAGAAAGCATGAAATGTCAGCTCTCTAGAGGGTAAGAAGTATGCACACATTGCTTCAGGTGTGAATTCTACAGCACTGTGCTGGGCTCCAAGCAGAACACAAGGGGTTTAAAACGTCAGCTCACCTTAGCAACTGTAGCTATAACTGACTGTGCCCTCAGTTCTCAGTTTTCTGAGGCTACAAATCTTTCCTGGAGGAGATAGCTCATCTTTCTTCAACGGAGCACTTGGTGGATTCGAACAACAGACTCTGGTTATTAGCCTAACACTACGAGGGTAAGCAGAGTTTTCATCTTATTGCTGTTGAGTCATAACTGACCCTCCAGTGGTTTTTCAGAGGCTGTAAATCTCATGGGAGAAGAACATCCATTTTTCTCCCTCTGAGCACCTTCTTCGGTAGGCAGCACAACTCCTAATCCATTAGGGGACACACACACACACAGCTTTTCCCGAGCTAGAAGAAACATCACAGGGACAGGTGCAGAATATCTTCACTTTACACAGGAAGGGACTCAGGAAGGAAAACTCTGGGCCTGTGATCCAGGAAATAGTGAAGAAATTGGGAGATTTGTCTTTCCCAGATATATTTGCCATATTTATGCCAGTGTTTTCTATATCCAAATGGAAAAGAAAGATTGTATTAACTTTAGACAAACCACTGCTCTTTCATCTTTGATGTTCTTAACTTACTAATAAGGAAGGAACAGTAGAAACTGGATCAGGAAGGATGTGACTATCATAAACATATGGCACTTAACCCTGAGGGTAAGAGCCTTGGGAAAACGTTCAACGTACAAGTTGTTTAACACGCCAGCTTCTAGACAGTCCACTTTCCTGGCTGTGGAAGGACTAGAGGAAGGAACTCACAATCACCACTCTGCA